ATATTATATAAATATGACACTACTTTTTAATGACATTCTATATTGATATGCATTGTTCTTTCATAATTTTATATTGATTTGGGGTATGGTCTACATATCTTATATAAATATGTTATTGGAAATCTTATATTGATGGCCAATCGTGGTATTTGAATCAGTCAGGGACTCTATATTTACATAAATATAAAGTCCCCGAATCTATGCATTTTAAAGTTCACCTTTCATCAAATTTATTCCCAAATGAACTCCTGAAATTATGAGTGATGATATACATTTAGTGCTTATATAAACATGGGTCATAATTAAAATATCGTATAATAAGTAAAGGTCATTCTTTGTATATATATATATATTTATATAAATATAGGTACCAAATATTAGTGAATGTTATATAAAAATGGGTACAGTAAAGCACATCAAACAGAAGAGCACTGTTTGGCAGACGCGAGAGTCCAGTTTAATGTCGATAGTTCCAAGATAAAAGTTGATAATTCCAAGATAAAAGTTGATAATAATACGCTTCCGTAGATTACGTTGAACAATTGTGTTTACTGAATTTTACAATCATCAAAATCAAGTTCAGTAACGTTAGGTGTTAACATCATTGCCATTTCAGGTATGCTTTTCGTATCAATTAGTAAATAAACTTCAAGACCAGCACGTCATGGTTATGTTAGAGGCAATCTGAAATGAATAATAAAACTTTACATGTATATATATATTTGTCGTTTTGAACATTTAAAACTATTCTCGGTGACGGAGTACTTGATTCATTATAATTTTTTTTTTACATTTGATCTCATGTTAAAATCTACATAGTAAAAGTTTTTTTTCAATTTTGTGTAAATTAGAATCGATAGGAAGTTTTATAAAAATCTTTAAGAGATTACCATATTTGACTTATGTAGACAGAACAATTCTTGTGATGATACATCCTCCAATATGACCGTACAAAAGTCAATCAGATGTACGTACGTTTTTGCCTAAGACACTATATAGAAAAATTGCACAGTGAATCGCTGAATCAACAGAAACCAAATATCGAAGAAAGGTTTCTCGCGTAAGGTATTTTCATGCATTGAAAATTTAGTTCCGATCGGCTGTTTAGTTTGACCATCGGGCTGAAATGCATAAAATATTTATCAATGGACAATAATCAGTGAAGCAATAAATTTGGCCAACTGCGGGGAACTAGTTATTTTTATTATATAAACGAAACTTGAAAAAATATAGACAAATCTCAAATTTTAGAACAGATCAACGAATTGATCCATAATGATGAGGAGATAATGATTTAGTAATTCATAAACAAAATAGACTTTTAGAACAATATTCAAAAACACAATGACTATTAAATTTTAAATCATATTGTTCAAGACAAATCTGAAATCACAGATCATATTTGAAATAAATTAACTGAAATACCAAAAGTCTGAAATCAGAAAAAGATACAAATTTGTATGAGTTTTTCCCTGCCACAGATGTTTGATCAAAGATATTTTATAAGTGTAGTTAAGATTAACGATAACGGTCCAATCTTCTTCAAGTAGACATTTTAGGAATCTATTCAATACATTGGTTCATTCGGTAACCATACTGATTTTGAAACCATACAAACTACTTTTTTTTGTTAGCGTGTCTGTCTAGTACAAAGCAGGGTAAATATTCATATTACATTAAAACATGTTCTCGTCCTAAATATGTATATTAATTTGCCGCTGGACGTTAAGCAGCCATCCATCATCATCATCATCATCATCATCATCAGCAGCAGCAGCAGCAGCAGCAGCATCATCTTTGTCTTTTAAACTACCTGTTCAGTGGGAACAATACAGTTTCAGGTGGATAACTGTTTAACTAGATAATTTTAATCTATATTGTCATTAAACTATATATAGCATGTGAGAAATCGGTAAACAAAAGCTATATCCATATGGTGCCTTCCAGGAACGCTTACATTGTATGAAATATCTATTCCTCGAATGCCAACAAAATAAATGTAATTTAAGTGAATGTGTGTTGTTTTCGGGGAAAAAAAACTTTAATTATTTGAACTATAAGGTAAAACATATTTGCACCATAAAATCATCATCTTTTTTTAAAATAAAATTAAAATGAAAACTAAGTATAAATACGCATCCACGTTCATTTTCTATATAGAGATTAATCTATCTATATATTACATTATACATTTTTATTAACAGGTAAACTCCTAACTATCCTACTTTTAATTTAGCATTGCACAAGTCATGTCTTCTTTGATTGTCCATGACGTTAAAACACTAAATCCCTGGATGTAATTTAGTTGATTTTAGTCTTTGATGCATCATTTTTTATTATTAATTGTTTATTGCTTTCAACTAGCTTTCAGTAACTGCGAGTACTCTCAAATCGTACTTTCGTGTTAATTAGACCTGTTGATACAATGTGTAATGTATTTTTGAATGTTTACTTATTCAGAGTTATATCTAGTCTCACTATTTTTGATATATACCACCTTTGATTATAGTTTAGTATGACGATAAATTTTCACTTTTGTTCTCGTACTAGGAATAACAAATTTATTTATTTTGTAAAAATTATTTCCGTACTCCATGTATACCTTACAACCAAATTATTTTTATTTACCTGTGTACGTTATTTTATTTGGCGGTATTTTGTCCAATGTAATGGTGGTCTTTCTGATATTAGTAATCATCTAACCCCCTTGTTTTATTAATTTTGTATTTACATTGTGTCATAGATCAAATTTATTCGTTCAGTGTATGTTCACTTGTTTTTGTTAATATGTCTTTTGATTGAGTTAAGCCATTTCAATTGATATTTTAAAGTGTGTCTTTCTATGTTGTGATGTTACACTATTGTTTCAGGAAGGGTGAAAGTTGGCGCCTATTAAAACGTTTAAACCCGCTGCATTTGTTTGCATCTGTCCTAAGTCAGGAACCTGATGTTCAGTGGTTGTCGTTTGTTGATGTGGTTCATTAGTGTTTCTTGTTTTTCGTTTTTTATATAGATAAAACCGTTGATTTTCCTGTTTGAATGGTTTTACACTAGTCATTTTGGGGCCCTTTATAGCTTGCTGTTCGGTGCGAGTCAAGGCTCCGTGTTGAAGGACGTACTTTGACCTATGATGGTTTACTTTTACAAATTGTGACTTGGATGGAGAGTTGTCTCCGATTGGCACTCATACCACATCTTCTTATGTCTAATTAATGATATAAATTACAAGGAATTATAAGGAAAATGATATTAGACCATAAAACTTTACAGGTAAAGTAAAGTTTGTAAAATGAAATATCTTTTTAAAAAAATGAATCTGTTTTTTAAGTATAATAAAAAAATCCTCAAAAAGGCCTGCATGCTTCTTTCATTTCGAATAAATGCATTTGTCGAAAAACCCAAGTGTATGACCTTCAAACATCATACAGCAATAACGTAAATGTTCGTTTACTGGCACGACATATTGTTATGTTACCTATAGTGCAAATAAAAGAAATTGAAAACGCCTGGTTTCACACAGTGGAGGAACAAGATAAAACTTTACTCTTAATATCGATACCAATAGGCTCACTGACTATGTTAGTGGTTGTTGGTTAGAATGTAACCGGCATTTGTGGACTCACAACAGAACAGAAGGACAAACAACAATAAAGAATGCATTCTAAGATAAAAAAAAGTATGCAAAGCTTTTCTTTTCCGTCTCATAGAGCTTCATCACATGTAACAGAAACTTACCAATGCATATGTCAACAACTTCAGTACGCTGCAGATGGAAAAGCTAGCTAGGTGTTTACGAAATTAAGGATACACTGACAACCTGAAGATCAAACATCAGAACAGATCTAGAATTATTTATATAATTCAATGCGTAAATGCTGCCACCTATCTACTACACTGGGACTAGACTGACAATATAGTGTATTGTGATGTGACTGTTCATGTTAATTGTACACAAGTTCTTAATGTAGATGTGATTGAAACTTTTTACTGTTCTTTTAAAATAGAACAGTTACACATACGTTTAGTGTCCAAACGTACAGTAAAAGCCAACTCATCTAACAATTACCAGATATACTTTGTAAATAAAGGCAATAGTAGTATACCGCTGTTCAATTGTCATAATTCGATTAAGTGAAAACAAATTCGGGTAACAAACTAAAACCGAGGGAAACACATCAACTGTAAGAGAAAAACAACGGAACAACATGCAGAAACACTGAACTACAACAAAAGCAAATGCCAACATACATAGAAACGGACTATCTGATAACAACTGCCATATTCCTGACTTGGTACAGGTAGCCAAACCTCCCGCTTATATGGTAATGTTAAAAATACCGCTAAAATGACAACACTACGTGACAGGAATACAGTACAACAAACAAACGCATGAACACTCAGCACAGAGAAATCCATAAATAAATAATATAATAGTACATTACAACATGTAAACAGCAGAATAACAACGGTCCCATGAATTTACGACAGCACACAAAAACCGCTCACAAAAATTATCAAAACCTTTCAGATTTATTTGTCTTTTATTTGTATTTGAATGAATAATAGTGCTAGCGGCAATAAAAGGGATTTTGCGTTCTTCTCTCTACGTATGCACTTTTATGAAATACATATTTACTATAGAGTCATAATGGGCAACTTCTACATTCATTCACAAAAAAGTATAGGGGAAAATTTCAGAGCTCGTATTCTGAAGAGATATAGAAAGGATATATATTTAGCCATGTAACTTAAGGTGTATCACATATCAAATTTAGAAGTTAGAGGAAATACGAACTCAAGACACGATAATCATTTTCAAATTTTTTGCCAAGTTTGAATGACCATTTTCATTCGTGATATTATGAATTACTGTTACTTATTCTGAATATTTGTTTATGCTATTATGAAGAACACCGTCAGAAGACCAGCTGTGTTTTCAATGAAAACAATAAGTTAAACTTGATAAGTAATTGAAGAGCTGAAATTGATATGGATAGTTAACATATTGTAACAGGTGACCTTTCATTTTTTTATCATTTAACACGTAAACACTCAATTGTATTACCAAAAGCTAATAGAACAGTGATCACGATACAAGGATTATTTAGGTAAGTTATTTTCTAAGGTAATAAAACAATAACAGTTTTGTAAACAAAAAAAAAAAGCTGCAGCATCTAAAAATTGTATGTTTTAAAAACATTTATGCAGAAACACATTTAATTAATAATTTAATTTCAGTTTCAACCGTATGTATCTCTCATGAATCAAACAACTACACTCTGCTAAATTAGTACTAACAAAGTATATCTACTAACAGATATATCAAAGTTTCTTTTAACTTATTTACCACAGCACAGTGTTTAAGATACTAATTTAATAAGTTATTAAATTCAAAAAAGAATCTGAAACGAAAAAGGATCTGAAATGAAAAAAATATATTCTGGAAAAGATTCTGTTGCGTACCCATATTAGTGTTTATTCCAATTCAATGAGAAATTTAACACAAAGTTCATTTCAAATTATAATTGTATTTTGAATACTCGATCTAGCTATGATACTCAAAGAAGTATCCCTTTTATAAAATATGTTGGAAATATAACTTTTTCAGAGCAATAGGAATTTCAACATGAAAAGCATACATATCAGAAATTAAAATCATTAAATTGCATTCAAACTATCTGATTTAGTTAAATACTCCAAATAGAATTGTAAATAAAAAAAAGACATTTGCCGAAAACAATAGAATAGTATAAGATGTAGGAATTTCAGTAATAATATAGTTTTTAAACTACTTATTACTTAAACGCCCGAAATGAACTTCAGATTTGGTATGTTGACCTCTCTTCCATGGAAAATTGACCACAATCCTCGCCCTAAATGTCAGAAGTTTAAAATATCTTGGCATTTTTTATTCTGTAACTTATTTTAATTCTTATAAAATATCCGAGAAGAGTAATTAAGAATCAACATCACAACACTTTCTCACCTGCTTTTTGTCCCCGAACATGGACATTGTCCCCCAGATTTTAGAATTTCAAATATCATAGCATATTTACTATTTACCGTGTTATAATGTCCAAATAAGTATCCTCTCAAAAAGCAAATGTTTGAAACCTATAATAGCACTTTTTCTGAGCCATTGTATTTTGAACCAACTATCATGAAAACCCACCTCCCCAAACCTATTTTAAATGTAGAATATTGGATTGAATATATGAATGCATTGTTTCAATGAGTTTACAATGACTTAACTATTTCTGTTTCATATTGCAGCGCTACATAATGATGTTTGTACATCTCAAGTTGGCTTTCTTCGTATTGACTTTCATATCAATTGTAAGTATACAAATTATTTAACATTGCTTTTTGGACCACATCAAATTAATCAAATCAAAGGTTGTCTTTAAGACTCTTCCGCTTCAAAAATATCTAAATTAGAATTTTAATAAAAAATCAACATGAAAAAAAGTTTAGGAAACGTGATAAATTCTAATTTGCAGACCTTGTTTCCGTAAGTTTTCACTCTTTGTAACCCATTCTTCAATTTTCAAATAAAAGTAGTAATTCGGTTCCAAAAACATGATAGATTGATTGAATGATGTTTTCTCAAAGTATATATTTCATACATATTCAGTGACTAAAATAAGAAGAAAAAAACCAATCATGTCGATTCTGTAAAGTGGGTCGACTGGGATAAATGGCGGGAAATTCAGACTGCTGATGGAAAATGAAGAATCTAAATTAAAGTATGGGGCAGAGATTCTGCCTCGTGATAAGATATTTATAAAAACATTATAAAGTAACTGTACACCAACCTATTTTCGCTGAGGGTTTTTTCCTGATGTAGACTTTTCTAACCGACCTCGCAACAATTTATTTTAACAATTTTCTTCAACAACCTAACCAGTACACCAAGATAACTATGCAGCCAACTAGGTAAATATACGATGTTACAAAAATGTATAATAAAGGCTCCGTATATTAAATGGTATGTGTGCAATTTCTTATCGCGTATTATTTTTCTAATAAGAAATCTCCGTACTACTTATCCTAAATATTAGAGAATACTAACCTTTTGCTTTGTTAGATAGGGGACGGGAAAATTAATGTAATTTTGTATTTGATTTTTTTCTTAAAAATTTCTTTAACCCAATCATCATGATCATCAAGAAATAAAAATTATTGTTAGAATTTAAATTCTTTTCTCATTGTGCAAGAAAGTAAATTATCTTACCGTGAAACTCTTACTGGTCATTTAAACGGCGGTAAATACAAATTTGAGGGGTTTTTTTTGTATTTTATTTGGTGGGGATGTCACAGAACAGCATTTTTTAAAAATGCATCTTTAACATCATAATTTAAGAATTATCTATCAAACTCCCTTTTCGGCAGTTTGGGGATCAACATCATGCACAATTCGCCGTTGCTGTCTGTTGCACTTTTTCTGATTTTTAGATATATGGCCTTATTGTTCGCTAGCTATTATTCGACAGCTTCGGTCTGGTCAGTTCAAGTGAATGATTCTTATTTTACGAATCTGATATTTTTATGTGAGCGAAGCAAAAAGTAAACTCGAATCGGATAAAACTATACGGTCGATTTCTTACTAAAACGATATTTGTCTGTTGCAGCAACTATGTTCGAATACACCACCTTTAGCAGAAGGAAGAGGATGGTTTTGGAAACAGCTTTTAAAACCTACGTGCATGGGTTGTGCAGGAATTTGTGAAAGAAAAGTACCCGGACGATGTGCGTGTGAACCTGATCCAAACTGTAGATACAGAGGACGTTGATTGTTTCTATCATTAACTGATTAAATCGTTTAAAAAATTTGATATTGCTTTTGAATTTTTAACAATATATTTTTTATACTAAAAAATCTTTTCCAGATTTGGCCCAAACTTTTAAGAATTTGTATTGCTTCAATGCTCGTCAACTTCCTATTTTATTTTGTGTTTCACCTGTTTTTGTTCTAGTGCCACTGATTAGTTGCGTCTGACAAACACAAATTTAGCCCGGTTTATTTGATGCGTTTTACTAAATTATTAAGCGTTTTGTGATTTTAAAGAGATGTGGGTAAACGTCAGCCCAAACTTCTTCAACGACAGATCATAGGTACTTGGGGACAGAAAATTTTTTTTAGTCCTCCCCCTTTTTCCCAAAATACGTTATTTTTTTTGTTTTCTATTAATTTCAATTATGTTCACGTTTTTCTGTATCATATAAACATAAATAAACTAGAAATAACTTTTATTTGCTATTTAATATCAATTCCAAGTTTACTATCCACAGCGGTCACTGATGTATTTATAAAAAAAAAAGAGCCAACACAGAATAACAGGATTGCAATCGCTCCGAGTCTAGACAAGTTGAGAATAGATTCATGAGGGTGTGGATAGGGGTTTATAGAATAGAGAATGATGGGCAAAAAATATAAAGAATAGAGAAAACTGGACCAAAAAAATAAAGAATAGGGAATAATCAGGTGCTATATAAGATATAGAGAATAATGGGCAAAAAGTATAAAGAATAGAGAAAATGGCCTAAAAAATTAAAGAATACAGAAATGAAAGACCCCCCATCCAGACCCTCATACATACAGACAACAAAATATCTGAATTCAGCATCATCAGGTTTACCAATATAAACGTTTATCTACGAGTACCTAAAATATAAGATTGTGTATATTTTCTTTTCTAAAATTTACAAAAGATTAGACCGTACGGTGACCGGTAACGTTATCAATGACCACAAAGGGAGCACTATCAGACTGCAAAATATGACAGTTGCTTTAAAATGATTTGTCAACGTTTAATTTGTACAATTAGAAATTTGGCCACGGCTGTTTATTTTTTTTTATGTTAAAATATCATTTTATGTTATGTTAAAGTGGTGTCCCTAACGAATTGAACATTTCCCATGGAAAATTTTCCTGTATAACTTGAGGGAATTCAATGATGGCAGTGATAGGAGAAAAATATAAAAAGTTTATTATTGGGGTGACATTATTATACTACGTCTCCTGTTATTTCTCGATAGTTTCTCTTTCTGAGTGCAAAAAAACTTTTTTCAGTTAACATTTAATGCCGGAATCATATGGTATTTAGAGCCCCATTGATCCCGGGGTGAATTTTCCATAGCGGAAAGTAGCGTAAATGCTCTTATAAATTAAAACGTTGACCTTTTAGGGTTTGGAGTTCAATTGTCCATGGTAGGGGTCAAAATACCATGCCTTAAAAATAGCGTTCCTAATACTTGATGAAGCATTTTTATTATACCACGTAGCTTCAATGTTTTGATTATTTAAAACTCTGATATATAAAGGGATTATTTTTTTCATGGAAGGGGTTAAAAATACAAAGGTTAAGAAAATTTATCTTAAATCTTTTCCAACATATATTTTTCATTCAAGCACTAATTTCAACATTATAACTAGAAAACTTAAATGTCAGCAAGGCCCGCTTGCAATTTTGTGTGTGATGCAGACAAGGAAATCATGTTCATGGGTTGTCAATTTTCATAAATCTTGAAAACAGCAGTTAATTTGAGATATTTTCTTGAAAACTATAAGTTTTTTTAAAATCCCAGCACTATCTATTTTGGCGGAGGTCCCGCAAATGGTGGGCAGCCAATAACCTTTGACTCAAAGAACCATTTTGGAATAGCAAATTGTACCTTCATATCTATTTCAATTGAAATTCTAGCAAAAACAGATGTTTCTCAAAGTCTTTATGCTTTCACAAAAACTACACATAGCTTACCGTGGACAAGAAATATCTGCAAACATCTTTTCCAACTTGTTTTATTCATACCGAATATTAAAACTATATACAGTATTTTGACTATCTATTTAACTATCTATGATGATTTGAAAATATGTCTACTATAGAGGGTTCAGTTTTCTATGGTAGGGAGTCAAAATACCATGGCTGAAAAAGTGTTATAAACTCTTCTCAACAATTTCTTTCATTCCACATACTTAATGAAGCATCACAATTAGAACACATAGCTTAATTGTTTTGATTATTTGAAATTCGGATATCTATAGTGGGTTCAAATTACCATGGTTAAAAATATTGATCAAAAATCTTTTCCAAAATATATTTTTTAGTGCAAGCACTTATTACATTACAACATGAAAACTGAAATGTCAACAAGAGCCCCGCTTGTCCACGTCATATCTTGTTGTAATACTATTTCAAGTAGGTAATTCACAATATTTGTGATTTTTAACAAAATTTCAGTTTTCACCACATTTATGCTCCACGTTTAATAAGAATTTGTTTTACAACGGGAGATGATTTTTAATATCATATTATACCTATGTACCAATAATCAAACTTTAAACTAAAGTTATAATGCTCCTATAAGTATTTGGCATGATAAAACAATGTTGGAAAGGATGTTTTAAGATTTCTGCTAACTATGGTATTTTGAACCCCTCCATGAATTATTGAACCCCATCCCTAATAGACCTCATATTTTCAAATCATTAAGGCTATTTAAAGTTTGAACTCTCCGATAAGTATTAAGTATGAATGAAACTAATTAAGTTACCCTCCCCCTCTAATAGACCTAATCTCATATGTTTAATTGTCATAGCTATTCAATCTATAGCATATATGGATAATGCTTCAATGAGTACTTGGTATCAGTAAAACATGTTCGATAGATTTTTTAACATTTTCATTTAGCCATGGATTTTGACACCCCTCCGTGGAAAATTGTCCTAATAGACATCATCTACGAAAAGATTTTTGTTTACATTTTTACTTAGCTATGGTATTTGAATTGATACCTCTAAATATGGAAGTAAAATACTTCTATACTGTTTGCTAAATATCAAGATCGAAACCGTCCCGAGTCTATATATACGTTGTGGATAAATTTAACAGAAACAAACCAAAATCGTGCGGTGTTTGCTCGTTCTTTGGTTTCTGGTGGAGAATTGTCTCATTTAGTTTTACAAATGTACATGTACGAATCCAGGATTTTCAAAAGGGGGACTGGCAAGCCAACGTTTGGAGTGATACTTGCAAAACGTCTATGCGTTTATCACATATGTAACTCTACACCCCCTGCCGTAATTTGTACCTACAGTTCTTTTAATGACTGGCTACGCCCCTGCTCTGTAAGGGGGCCCAGACCCCTGCCCCCTAAATCGGCCTCTGATGTATGTCATATACACTATAACATTCTCCAAATAACGGGGGGAAATAATATATGCTATACGACAACTTCTAACGAGGTTCCTTACTTTGGACAGATACATGGAAATGTGGTCGAGTTAAACTAGATTTGTGGATCTTATTTTTCCCTCCTGCTTTGTAGTATCAGTGGGTTAACTGAACGTGCATTAAATAAAATACAATAAAGACAAGTTCAAGAAAAGCATTTTACTCTTGTCTGTTTACGATTATGCTATACATATCCTATATTTGGTACCGAAAATATCCTATCATATCTTTTTTTTTCAAACTAATTAAGTTGACCGTCTGAATCCCAATTGCCCTCGTATGTTTGTCTATATAAGATTTACTGTTCCACAGGGGTATATATAGATTTTTTTAAGAATCAATTTTGCCTTCTTACCTACCCAATATGATTTAATAGACATGTTTTGTTTTTGCCTAAAATTAAATGAAAAGTACCATACAATAGCTGTAGAAAAAGTTATCTTGTATTTGGCAAATATATCTGGTGGATAGTTGTTCCATTGGGGATAGGTATGAGGGTACTCTCCTAAATGATAGAACTTGTACTCGTTGTAACTCTGGAAATATGTTAAATTTAATGATGACCGCATTCATCTATTTAAAGAAATAACTAAAAGTTGCCCCAATTTTCTGTCTCAACTCAATAGATACACTGACATGGCTTATGAACACAGAAAATATTGAGTAAATTCTCGCTGCTGCTGGTAAATTTATTTCTAAAATTGTTAATGGTGTGGCTTTCTTTTCTGCTTCAGACACGAGGATGACTGTGTGAATAACACAGCTCATGAGCTTCGCCCCTTGATGTCTGTTGCAGTAGGGAAACCGACGCTATTCTCAAAACCTTTTACTGCAGTATATGTTATTTGCTGTGAATAAACTTGAACTTTTGTTACATTTATATTTGTTTCTCTGCATCAGATATGAGGAGGTTTGTTAGAGCTCTTAAGCTCACAATCCTAGAGCATCGTACCTTGATACTTGTTGCAGCTAAACAATCAAATATATTAATGTTATACATTTCCAGCAAAAATATAAAAAAAATAAAATAAAAAAAACTACAAATAAAATCAAGTGAGAGTACATTTGCCACATCTATGGAGCAGCAACTCTTAAATGCTTTTTTTTTTTATTTAACATATAATAGCCTTTATCACACTTTATAAAATTGTAAGTGTATTATATGAATGTCATGTAAAATACTGTATGTTGTAAAGATTATATTTGTTATTTGTGATCGCTACGTCAATATGAAATACTTTTTAGACTTGCTTGATAAAGACGGCAAATACTGCGAAAAATAGGAATTATACCATTTAACATGTATTATATACTTTAGAATAAAAGAACAAGAAACGTGCACGCGAGACTGCAATTTATTTTCTATGTACCTCATAATTAATCTTGCCTTAAAACTGTCAAAACCTATCAAATCGACTCTCTAATCACAGGTTTTTTTCTTCACCGCATCTTCATTTCATAAACATGATAAAGTGTCTCAAAATCGTAAATTTAAAAATAAGAAGATGTGGTATGATTACCAATGAGACAAATCTTCACAAGAGCAAGAGACCAAATGACACAGGAATTAACATCTATAGGTCACCGACCCACAGTATTGCTAGTTGTGGTTTTAAGACATCTTTTAGAACTAAATTAGAAGATGCTTTCTCTTCTGATTTTTTCGCATTTTGTCATGTCTTTTTTTTTTTTTAACTTAAATTGATATTATGGCATGGTTTTTTTTTTTCATTGTTGAATGCCGCACAGGTCCCACTAGTTTTAACATCATTTTTAAGATATTTAAGTATGGACAGTGAAAGATGGATTGTATCAGAATTAAATGTGAAAAAAAAACATAGTTATAAGTATGAGGTATAACTAAACAATAGAAAATTTAATATTCAATGCAAACAATGAAAAATAATCAGTATCCCGAAATCCTGTACACAAGCGCATATATGCAACCAGAGACATATAATACATATATTATACGTTTCAATATAAAACCTAGTCCAAATAATCATAATTATGACGTTTTGTACGGCTTTTTTATTTTTTTTGGACGCCTTCCGTCATAGGAGGGCGTAATAGCAACAAACAAACAAAAAAACCTTAGAAGTCATAATTATTTGGATCAAGGATTTATACATATAGTAAGTCTTATTTGGACTATATAAAACCATGAGATATATGTCTCTGATAAAACCAACTCATCAACGGACCAATGTTTTAATATCCTGTTCCTGACAATATAATTTAAGGCCTTATAAAGCCATTAACAAATAAATGAGATATTTCATTCGTGATCATTGTTATTTTATTAGTTGTTACATATGCATGTATCATGTGTAGGTTGACATGTCCTCAAGATACCATAAAATCATTTAACCGGTACATAACCAACCTGAGCTTTGATAACACATAAATGTAATCATTGAAAAAAAATCTGATATTATCATCACTGCATATCATCTGTAGAAAAAAATATATTTCAAAATGCTTTGATGTGCAAAAATCAATAGAAACAAGGTTTTACAGTTCATCAGTGTAGAATTTTATTATCTTTTAGTTGTGCATATTTGAATGACTAACCGGAAGTTCGCACCTGTAAACCGGAAATAAATCGAACAGAGCAAAGAAAATCATGGTAAGCAGTTGGAAGTTAAAAACTAAGTTATATACGATAATATTTCTTTAAATATGTCTTTTATTTGAAGTATAATAACCCGTATTTCTTTCTTTTCAGTCTGCACTCACGGAAGATCAAATAGCCGGTAAGAAAAGTTTACAACAAAGTTTAGAAGCGTAAGGGAGGGGCTGGTATTTACACTTAAATATGCTGTAACCTTTTACCAGTTTATAGGGTGTTTTTTTTTGTGCAGAAAAGTTTAACCATATCAAGTTAAAAATTAATGAAAAACGAGAAATGACTATGTATGACCTGTATTTCCTAGTTCCTGAATAAAGGATTTCTGACAAATTCTGTCAAAAATCTCTACATGTGATGTACAGTAGCAATATCAGTATACCTTTGCTGGAGCATGGATCTGACAAATTTGTCCCTATAAACAGATTTTCCAGAAAAAGATATCAGCTTGACAACAGACCATAAATAGTTGGGACTTTGAAATTGGCAATAAGTTGTGGCAATTTGTCTGCCGTTACTGGACTTCAAAGACATTCCTGTTAAATTTGATGTATAGGGAAGTTGCATCCCTTTTGGACTACTAACAATGTAGGACACTGAATGGTATGTACAGTTTGTCAATTTCAATTGACATACAAGTTAAAAATGCACTTGTGTACATACAGATTTTTTATTATTAAGCATTGTTAAGCGATTTGTTTAGCGAAGACTATAGTATACCCTATAAAATTTCTGCATAACTTTCAATTTTGGTCCAAGGCAAACATGTATACTTGTATCTTCTCACAATACAATTTTGTAAGTGTTTCAATTTTTATCATAGATATTCAGGAAACATTCAATTTGTTTGACCAGAGAGGAGATGGAAAAATTGCAGCTGCACAATTGGGTGATGTATTAAGGGCATTAGGACAGAATCCTACAGAACATGAAGTCAAAAAGTGTGGATACAATAATAATCCAGGTATAAATTAAATACAATGTTAGAGTTATTCATCACATTCATATTAAATAAATTTAGACGGTAATAACTTGAAATCGTATGGCCAACAATATAATTATACAGGAAAATGAAAATGGGGGAAATAATTTAAGGAAGCAACATGTAGGCATATCTAGTTATGGAAATGGAATAATTATCAAAATCTAGGAAACAGTTGCCAAAAGTGATCCTATTGTTGATGAATACTTGGGTTTTAAGAATTAATGAACATTGCACAGGAAGGACGATTTTTTTGTTGCTTTTCAACTCTTGAGTAGCTACACATGTACATGTAGTGGCATTTTATGCTGAATATTGGAACAGTCAAAAACTGATTAAGTTTAATATTTGATAGGCCAGAAGCAGACCAGATTTAAAAAAAATCATGAATGAGAATGACAATAAAAATAATCTCATAGCACAGTCAGGCTAGTAAAATTTAAAACATGTTGTATTGATATGCATGTCATAAATGAATGTTTGTTAAATGTGTTGTTTCTAAATTTCCATACTCTTTCAAAAAAAAAATTTAAAGGAGATATGGGTATACCTCCATGACCTCAATGAAACAGTAACCCAATGAAACAAATAACCAAAAAGACATCTAGTGGGCAATATAGTTATCAACATTGACCGGTCATGCAGGGGTCTATACAATATGGGAATCTTATGCTCATGTCGACGTATAACACATGTTTTACCATCATTTACAGAGAAAAATTATCTCTTTGAAATAAATAGAAATTTTGAACTTAAAAACAATTTTTGAAATGTTAAGTAAAACTTATGGGGAAGCTGAAAAAATTTTAAAAGGTAAGGAAATAAAGATCCTTATTCAATCTGAGGATGTGTTCAAATTGTACTGTATTTCATCAGTGTAAAATAATTGTAATTACTTTTAATCTTACATGTATAATTTCAGATTCAAGAATTTCATTTGAAGTCTTCCTTCCCATCCTCCACACTGTCAGCAAGAATAGAGACTGTGCAACCTATGAAGATTTTGTAGAAGGACTACGCATGTTTGATAAAGAACAAAATGGCTATATATCTTCCGCAGAGCTTAGACATGTCCTTACTTGTTTAGGTGTGTTTATATGTTTATTAAGGTGGAACATCACTATATTTCCTGAGATAGAATTTTCTTATACTTTACCAAAATGCAGATTTTACCATGCTGTTTTATAAAATAGGATAAAAAGTATGGGTCACCGTGCTATTATTAAAGCTACAAGTCATACAAAATTGCCCAATTTTGCATAGATAAATCATGAAAAAACACTTGTGAATAAAAAGAAATCTATTAGATAGAACTTTTAAATAAAAAAATAAGAAGATAGGTTTTATAATATGCTTTAATAGAAAATAAAAGAAAAAAATGGTGCCACCAACTTTTTTTCGTGCTACAAGGAAAAACTGAAAATTTTATAAAAATGTTTACTATAATAGTTATCTCCCCTTATATGGCTAACTTGAATAATTGAATCAAACAAAAAATAATAATTTGGTATTTGTAAAAACTGTCTAAATAATGCAATAAATCACTTTTTTTCATATAACAGTCTTACACATTAATTGCCAATCTGCCTTAAAGCAAAGAGGTAGTAGACCGATTGTATACTGCTATTTTACAATCCAAGGCGGCTGTATACAGTAAATCTACCTGAAAAAATTTGATAATGCAATGAAAATATACTACAGCTAGAATACAGTGGATTAACTTATACATGTACCTGCACTGACTCATTGTATCCATTTCATTAGGTATACATAAAAGATTATACTCCTGCATCAAGTCAGGTAGTTTTGCAAATCATTAAAATATTCTGAATTGTATAAAAGCTTCGCCTCACCTGATATGAATTTTATTGACTTGATAAATTCCCGTATTGGCACACTGTGTAACTAATAATAGCTTTCTGAAAAACCATGAAAAGCTTGACATGCCTTTGCATAAAAACTCCAGTAAATAATTTGTTCATTTTGATAGGTGACAGATTATCAGATGATGATGTTGATCAATTACTGCAAGGCCAGGAAGATGCACAAGGCAACATTAATTATGAAGGTATATATGTTAATCAGTCCTCACTGGTTATGCCAGTTGATACTATATTTCAGACTTTGTTATTGACTGAAAACTGTCATAAATGAAGATCTTAACACAGTTTTCTAGAAGTTATTGATGTGGGTTTTCCTGATAAATCTCCAACAAAGCATTTGTTATTTCTTTAAATTTTACTTTCTGTGGAACCCCAGAGCTCCATTCATGTGTAAGATCTATAAAGATATCTGTGAAGTTGACTTGGTATAATAATAAGGAGATGTGGTATGATAGCCAGGAAGACAATTATCCACCAGAGTTCAATGATGTGGATTTAAGCAATTGTAAGACACTGCATGGCTTTCAACAATGAGGAAACCCCATACCGTATAGTCATTTATAAATGGCTGCTCATAAAAATGTGTGTGTTTACATAAGTAACAAAAGTAGAACTGGCAACATGGTCTATGTGTAAACCAAGGGAAGTAATTCTAAAGGACCAATCACATTCAAGTAATTGTAGATATGCAAATCATATAAGAACTATGGAGAAATAGATCTAAAACCATAATAGTGCACAGGTATATTACTGTGGGTTCATTTATTTTTTATGTGGATAGAGGAAAACCTACATTTTCATGGATATTTAATTTCATTGTTTTGCCAAGGTCTGCATACAAGCCTATAAAAAACTTTTAATTCGTTGAACATTTAAATTCGTGGTTAACCTGTACCCAAGAAATGCACGAATATTGGTATCCAAAAAATAATAGTGAATCCACGGTAATCATGGGAACTTTCAAAATAGTTTGATGTCTTATAGTTATCCATCAGATTATTCATCTGTAAACTGTCAATGAGTTGCTCTGAATTATTTCTTAATGTCTAGTAAATACTGTTGTCACCAAAAAATATATAATTGTATTTCGTAAGGTTTAAACTACCTGACACTTGTCTTATCTTCGAATCTCTTTGCATCATAGAAAAAAAGGATATGGGTTATCCATCCATGACACAAAATTAGTACATGCACAGCAAAAAAACATACAAAAAGCATTTTAGAACAGCGCTTTTATAGCTGTTCTTCATCTCAAAGTCACAGTGAGGCCTTCAACACGGAGCCAAAAAACTCTCACCCCACTGCAAGTTTAAGACGGCCCCTAACACCAGCTTTAGCTGAATTCTTTGCAAAAATGATTTGGATAGACTTTGTAAGATCAAACACCACCAAATCGGGCCTGGTAAAAAAAAGAAATACTTGAAAGTAGTACATATTTAAAACAAAATAGTTCCTATGCATAGATAAAAATATAAAACTATGTAGAATATATTTTAGTAAATTAGCTATCAGATGAAAGGTGAAGGACTGGTAATCCCTGTAAAGCACATATTGACTGATGATTTTGAATAATACAAAAATGTATGAATGAATTCATAAATTGAGGGCATATATTGTGTACATTTTCAAAATTTCACAACATTAAAACTTTGAAACTGAGATAACATTTAGTAATCACTATCATATTTTATTTCTTCTCTTTTACAGAATTTATCAAGATGGTTATGAATGGCTAGACCAGGACGTGACTATTTTAAAGAGACATATTTTATATTATAGTTATTTTGTATTAAATTTGTTAGCGATTGTATTTAAACTCAATGCTTATCATATACATCTTTGTTAGTAGTTTGTACTTGTATCAGCAATAACAACACTAAACTACGATCATGCAATGTTTTTGTTTATAGTTTGAATCCAGAAAACAATGTTTTTTGTAACCTCTGGCAATTGTCGATTTAACCATCAGTGTTGAGATTTTTTTCCTCCATTTTTAAAAACCATTATAATTTATATTGCCAAAATTCACTGATCATAAAGATCATGCTGAAGCACCTAGGTGTGCAGTCTGTACTAATATTAGACATTCCAAAGAACAAAAAATGTCTCCATAAACATTATTCTCATTGAAATGGTTATCATGAATATCAAATACATACCTGTAATGTTAAAGTCAGTCAGTATTTGAAGGAATGAACAAAATAAAAGTACAAAAAAGTGTGATTTAATTTGTGAAATTTATAGTTGGACCGAATGTATAACATGGTATGGACCTGGTAGCAATTTATCCTACTCCACAGCAATATTAAGCACAGTAAACTGGGTTCCTGCCATGTAGTTCTACTGTTTGATTTTTTTTAGCATTGTTTATAAACCAGAGATTGTTACTACACATCAAAATATCATTAAGAACAGTATTGAGTTTTTTGTTTTGAAAAAAAGCTAGTCAATATACAAATATATCATATTTAATCATTTACTGCCAATGAAATTTAAATTTAGCAACAAAAGCCAAACAAACTCATATTTATTGGTGCCAGTCCAGCAAACTCCTGGCTTTCATTTATACCACACACAAAACTAATGTTTTTAGTATATTGTAGGCAATAAGCATACATGTAGCTGAAATTTCAGGAGAAACAATCTTTGTACATATCATATAAGAAATAAAACTTGAATTTCTCTTGATATGGTTTTGACATTTTTGATAAATTGACGCACATCTCTAAGTTGGCTTTTTAGAGTAAACCTTAAAATTATCAACACAGATGGAATTGAATTGATTGAAGAGTTTTCCTTAATTTATAGGATCTTCTATTATTATTAGCTCACTGGGGCCCGAAGGGCCCTATGTGAGCTTATGCCATCACTTGGCGTCCGTCGTCGGCGTCTGTTGTCGTTGTCTGCCGTCATAAACTATTTCAAAAATCTTCTCCTCTGAAACTACTGGGCCAAATACCTTCAAACTTTAACTAAATGTTCCTTAGGGTATCTAGTTTATAAATTGTATCCGAAGTTTTGATCCATCGACAAACATGGCCGCCATAGCTAAAAATAGAACATAGGGGTCAAATGCAGTTTTTGGCTTATATCTCAAAAACTAAAGCTTTTAGAGCAAATCTGACATGGGGTTCAATTGGTCAAGATCTATAAGCTCTGAAATTTTCAGACGAATCAAACAACCCATTGTTGGGTTGCTGCCACCGAATTGGTAGTTTTAACAAAATTTTGCAGTTTTTTGTTATTATTTTGAATATTATTATAGATATATATAAACTGTAAGCAGCAATAATGTTCAGCAAAGTAAGATCTACATAAAAGTTAATATGACCATAATTGTCAATTGACCCCTTAAGGAGTTATTGCCCTTTAAAGACAACTTTACACAATTTGTTCATCAAGTTTGCTAACATTTAAAAATCTTCTCTGGAATGCAGGTGAGCGATTCAGGCTCTTGAGAGCCTCTTGTATTGATTTATAGCTTCTTACAGTACATGCATATTTAGGATGATGGCTATGTCTTTCTGAAAATTTCTAACAAATAATGAAATTGAACTAAAATTATGCAAGGATGATATTAAGTTGATTTGGTATTCCTGTGATCATCATTACAGAGCTGTGCTTTCCATTGGACTGCTCTTTTAACTTAATTGCACTTGGAAAATGCTTTGTACCCTTGCAAATATTGTATGGTCAGAAAAAAGTTGGAATGCCAAAGATGTATAAATACAAGCAAGTTATGTTCAAAATAGTTTATACTATCAAAAACAATCTGAGGTCCAAACTTTGTCCAAGTTAGTGAGTTATAAGAACTTTATTTTGCAAAATTTTTTTAGATTTCTTAACTGGGTATCACAATGTACACAATAAGTCTGACAACACCAGAGGAAAAATTCTACTACTGATGGTGTAACAGTCCATTTGAGAAATTATGAATTTTGTGTTAATCTGACATCCAAGATGGCCATTACCATTTTACATAGTTTCACCTAAGACATTGGTGGGAAATACCTGTAACCACCTTTGGAAACTGGTGTTCAAATTTAATTGTATCAGGCTGATAGTCCTTAAAACACAAATTTTTAATTTTGGTCATGATTTAGAATTCAGGGTAGCTACTACTTCTAGAAAATTCTATGACAAAAATTTAAAAGCAATCAAGTGAGCAAAATACTATTCTTTATTGTGTTTCTATTTTAATTAAGAATATCTATGTGCCACCATGAAACACAACCAATAATGATTTGAAATTGAAACTTTTTCCCCACAATTTTGTATCCACATAACAATTTCATATCACAACTGCTTCATAGGGAAATGTGTTTACTTGATATACATATATAGTTGATCAGATACATAGATCAAGTACCACATGTCATGCTTGGACTCCTAGATATGTAAAGCTAAAATATAGTTAATATCTAATTTCAGATGCAATTGCTGTCTAGCTTAGATTCATAGTTTTGTCCTTGTAATAGAATTAAAGATGAAGAAAATCAAAACAAGTCCACACATGACTAAATGTCTTGTCTACTTGACATGATTGAATTATGTTGACAATCTGTTATATGAAAATTTTACTGCAAGTATCACACACACTAAAAATTATCAATAATCCATGACAATGAGGTCAAGTTCAGATGAACCATGCTAGACAGACATGTACACCTTACAATCATTCCATACACCAAATATAGTTTACCTATTGCTTGCACATGTTATAGAATCTGATCAACTGACAAAATAATTAAACACAAAAACTTACCATTGAACCATAAAAATGATATCAAGGTCAAATGAAACCGGCCATGTACATTTTACAATCATTCAATATACCAAATATAATGGCCCTTTGCTTATAGTATCTGAGAAATAGACCAAACAACACAAGAGTGCACACGCTGAAATGTCTCGCCTTCTTTACTAATCATTGATATGTTGATAGTTCTAAATATAAAGCTTTACTACAACTATCACATAAACTTAACATGATCCAAGAAAATGAGGTCAAGGTAATATAAACCAAACAAGAATTACATGTACACCTTACAATCATTCAAAACACTAAATATAGTTGACCTATTGCTTATAGTTCTAAGATACAGACTTAACCAAGAAAACTAAACATGGACTAATGAACCAAGAAAATGATGTCAAGGTCAGATGAACCATGCCAGGCAGACATGTACACAGCTTGCAATCCTTCCATACAACAAATACAGTTGACCTATTGCTTATAGAAATAGAAAAACAGACCAAAACACAAAAACTTGACACTGAGCTATGAACCGTGAAAATGAGGTCAAGGTCAAATAAAACCGGCCAGACTGACATGTACATCATAAAATATTTCCATACACCAAATATAGTTGACCTATTGCATAGAAAAAAAGACCAAAACTCAAAAATTTAACATTGACCACTGAACCATGAAAATGAGGTCAAGGTCAGAAGACACCTGCCAGCTAGACATGTACACCTTACAATCATTCCATACACCAAATAAAGTAGACCTATTGCATACAGTATAAGAAAAACAGACCAAAACACGAAAACTTAATTATAACCACTGAACCATGAAAATGAGGTCAAGGTCAGATGACACCTGCCAGTTAGACATGTACACCTTACAGTCCTTCCATACATTGAATATGCTAGACCTATTGCTTCTAGTATCTGAGATATGGACTTGACCACCAAAACTTAACCTTGTTCACTGATCCATGAAATGAGGTCAAGTGAAAACTGTCTGACGGGCATGAGGACCTTACAAGGTACGCACATACCAAATATAGTTATCCTATTACTCATTATAAGAGAGAAATTAACATTACAAAAAATCTGAACTTTTTTTTCAAGTAGTCACTGAAACATGAAAATGAGGTCAAGGACAATGGACATGTGACAGACAGAAAGTTTGTAACATAAGGCATCTATATACAAAGTATGAAGCATCCAGGTCTTTCACCTTCTAAAATACAAAGCTTTTAAGAAGTTAGCTTACGCCGCCACCGCCGCCGGATCACTATCCCTATGTCGAGCTTTCTGCGACAATAGTCACAGTCTCGACAAAAAACTAAATGATGAACCATAAAAAAGAGGTCAAGGTCATATGATCCCTGCCAGACAAACATGTATACCTTATAATCATTTCATACACCAAATATAGTTTACCTATTGCTATAGTATCTAATAAACTGACAAAACCATAAAAATGATGTCAAGGTCGGATGAAACCTGCATCAGACATGTACATCTTTCAATCATTCAATACACAAAATATAATGGCCTTATTGCTTATTGTATCTGAGAAATAGACCAACAACAAAAACTTAATATTGTCCAATCAAACATGAAAAAGAGGTGAAGGTGAGATAAAACCTTCCAGTTAGACATGTACGCCTTACAATCATTCCCTACACCAAATATAGTTAATCTATTGCTCATAGAACCTAAAATATGAACTTGACCACAAAATCTTAACCTTGATCACTGTTCCATAAAATGAGCAAGTCAGATGCACCCTGTAATGAACATGTAGATTTCCCAAAAAAGTTTAATCCAGCAACCTGTTCATGTGCCTGGGACCAGGTAAGAATTTAGTCAGTGATTAAAATTTAGTTATATATTAATGTATTTTGTCTATCCCTACTCAAATAAACGGAAGGGCAGATATCTCAAAAACTTAGTTTATTCCCATCACATGTGCACAAGTTTGACCAAATGCAGTCCGGTTGGTAATTTTCTTCCGTTGTATCTTACTAATGTATTTTTTCCAATTCAGGACTCTGTTGTTGATGGCAGATCTCTATTTTCTCTGTTGATTTTTTTCATTACTGCTTTAGACATTAGGTAATTCAGATCTTGACATATTTATGTTGACCTAGACGTTTCTCATTTTTTTGGTGTCATGGTGTTGGGTGTCTCCTTGATACATGCCCCACATCTTTTTTAAGCCCTCACTGTAGGCGACAGGGGCTTTAAGTGTTACCCTTGAGGCCTTGACCTTCTGTCTTTGCATCCGTCCCATTTTCGTTTCTGCACTCTAAATTAAGTTTGTCTTATGCAAATTTTATGAAACCCGGGACATTCGTGTCCTCAGACACATTCTTCTTTTATTTCTTTCATCTTTATTCAATTTGGAGAATAAAATCAAGACCACACGTAGATAAATAAATGGATTTCTCATTTTAATTAAATAATAATTTTAAAGGTAAAGAGATTCACAAATCAAGAAATAAATAATATAACAAGCAAACAAAACAAACAAGATGAAACTAGTAAGTCAAAGACGGGATACACATAGAGAATTTTAAACTAGAGAACAACTACAAGAATAACACCTTGTTAGGACTAGGAAAAACTAAGTCTTATTTTTAACTTTAGATTTTTAACTTTTAAAAGTTAAGAAAAAAAAAAAACTTTTGCTAATTAATTTTATAATAATTCATTATATTTGCCATAAAATTATATTTTGGGAATATTTTTTCCAAGTCAATTTGATCCCGGAATGAAACAATAGTTATTAGTCTATATGTTTAATGTAAAAAATTTCAACACACATTACTTAATAACCTATCATGTAAGCACAGGCACTTGTCTCAGAAAAAAATTTCCTTTATACCTTAATATAACACTGTTATACTGTTATATTAAGGTATATAGGAATTTGTTTTTCTTAGACAAGTGCCTGTGCATGTAAGTTATGAGGAAAAGAAACAAATTCTTACCAATTTTTACTTGGATAAGAAATCAAATAAAAGAGCAAAAAGTTTTAACAATAGGTCCTTGTCTACTATTACTTTTTCTTCAAAGTTCTTTATTATTCATTAACCTTAATATTTTGTGTATTCCATGGTCAAGGTATAATTGTGCAAATGTTTATTTGTTATTATTTTAAATATAATTAAAAACATGTAGTTTACATTCTATAGGGGTGATGAATAAGTTACATTTGTCAAACAGCTGATTTTTATACGAATAAATGATTATTTTCTACATAATAATTCTAATATTATTGCTCAATAAAATAAAAATAAATTTGGAAAAAAATTAGCACACATGAACATGTACATGTATTGTGTCATATGATGAGTGATAAAATACTTTACCCATGATGTATATTGCATATACTAAAAACAATAATATTAACAAATCACTTTCACACAATCTGTCGGTACTGATTTAAACTTTGCTAAAACTACCTAATTTTCATCACTTGGGTCTCTTTTTAAGATTGAATGGGCTTATACTGTCCATAATTTATATCCCCTTTCATCTTATGTGGCTCAACAGACTCTAAAGTCAAACAAACTGACAATAGAAACATATTCACTGTTACCATTAGATGTAGGAGTCCTAGAGTACAATCTAGTTACATTGCGTTGTTACAAGATAATGGTATTTTCAAATATGCTATAATAAAACATATAAAAAACTGTATTTTCTTAAAGTATTTGAAAAGTTCTGGAAAATGACTTTCACTAGAGAATCCTATCAGAGGTAGTAAAATAGATTTTGGCAAAATTTAACTGAATTTTAATACTTGTATTATTTTTTAAATATAATACTCTATCATATTTCAATTGATCTGCAGCTATCAAAATATTTGTCAATAATTTTTCCATTCATTTTTAACTGTCAAGATGAAAATTTGAGAAATTGGTAGAGTTTTTAGTTTGATTCTGTAAAAAAAAAAACAACCTTCAGATATTGGCAACTAATACTGATAGCACATGATCATAATTTATAGATTATTACACATTTTTCACATATTAGACCTGGTGTAATATCAAAACTGATGGGTCTGATATCATTTAATGGAAGGTACCAGGCCCAACATGCAAAATGACATGTGATTATCTATTACATATTTTTACAGATTTTAATATTCAACTTTTGAGCTTGATATTAGAAGTTCAAATTAGCAATATTTATAAGTAATCAAAAAGCACACATCAAGTTTAAAATAACTGATAACCCCATGAACCATTTAGAGTTTAAGTACAACTTTTCTATCAGGCAGTTTCTCTCGATATAAATATATACACAAACATACAATTTTATTATGACATTAAAAAATTCACCTTGCCCTTTAACAATCTCACAACCATTATATAAATTAACCATTTTATATTATACCCACTACTATGACCAGGCATGCTTGGCTGATACACTGACCAGTTGGAAAGGACTTGTTCATTTGATATTATCAAAAGGAATGTCATGGAAGTTTTAATATCCAAACCCTATCTATTTACAAAATTACATATTTCAGTCTTATTTTTTTTTAATCTAGATCTGAGCTGTAATCTTATATCCAACTAGCTGATACAATAATGAAATAATGCCAAAAAAACCCTTAATTTATAAGAGACTGACAACCAAGAATTAAAATTACAATCTGGATTTCAAAAGCACTGCATTATGAAGATTGTAATCCAATACATATATATATATAAAATTACAATTAAATCTGATTGGCAAACATTTCATAAAAATAATGCAAAAAACATTCCATATCATCAGCAATCTTCATCCAAAGACTTAAAAATTCTTCCATATGATATTTCAGATTTCAAAAACTATTAGATTGAAATTGCTAGGTTTTTGACTGTTGAACTTGAATCTGAACTTTTGCATATATATGTAGTAACTACAGTCAGACTTGTGTGCATGTGCTTTTCCCATACCAACTTAGAAACAATTTTATATATATATCAATATTGAAAAATACACATAATTTTAAACAATTGGTAACAGGTAAAATATTCAGTCCTTTACAACTGTATGACTATCAACTATTGTACAAAAATTAATATTTTGACTACCGGTATTTGACTTTTTTACCTCTTTAATGCTAATTTCTTTTTTCAAAAGCCAACAAATTGTAAATAAACTCATCATAGATTTCATTGTAAATACATTTTGTGTATATCAATTATTCCTTTACCATACCATCTGAAAATAATTTTTTCTTGAAAGTTTTCAAGAAACTGTTATATCTTAGAACTATCTGTTCACAAACATTTATTCACTTTAATGTATTTAAACATCTTCATCAGAAATTTTCATCTTGAACATTTTCACAACACACATATCAATACAAATTTATTTTTCTATACTGACAGCAATTACACAAAATAGCATCAACCCCTTTCATTGAGATAACTAAGACACAATAATATAAAGAAACATTTTCAAATCATTTTATAACTGACAATAACTTTTATCAGACTTGTTCAATTGATTCTTACAATCCAACTACACACAATCATTCAATGATAACAATGCTAAATACAGAGATTGTGCTTTAATTCAATTATTCTGTTTCCTGTGGAAACTGGTAAACACTGTTTAAACACGACTTTCTTTAGCGATACTCGAAAAACCTAATTTTGATGTATAAGGTTCCAATGTTGAACCAGGTAATGTGAGCTTGCAGTAATGTCAGTAAACAGGGATTGAAATAAGAACATCCGATATTAAGGCACCAGCAAGAGATTTAGAATATGTTTAACAAATTTTGAATCATAAATTAAGTGGAATTCTCATTTTGAAATATATGCAGAATATAAAAACCCATTTTGAAATATATGCAGAATATAAATCCCATTTTGAAATATTTGCAGAATATATACATGAAGGTTGAAAAAAACGTTCTCAGAAATCTGGACCTGTGGGCAATCATTCCTTCTTTCCATTTCTGTTCCAGTATCATTTATATTACAAAAAACAGCAGTGTTCACAAATTAAGACCGATTATCATGCTAAAATGGAATGGCTAGAAATGTTAATCATTTCTTAAGACAGGACCGAAATAAAATGATCAGTACATTTATTTTGTTGGTTTTTTTTAAAGAGGAGACTTTCATGAAACAAAAATTTCATAGGAATATCTAATTGAAAGTGGTGTTTCTAAAGTATTACCAAGTTTTTTGTACATATATCATATGTACGTATTGCACATTTAAATATATCATCAATAACAGAGTGTAAGTACATGTACATATCATTCAACAATGGCTCTTTACTATATCATAGAAAGATGAAAATAGATTCAAGAGGATACATCAACCTCTGAATTCAAATGTTTTGAGCAAGTGTGTAGCCATTTTCACAAAAAAGATATGCTTTTTAAAATGAGATACACTTACTGTATAAATATATAATTCAAAATTAAAAAAAAATGGATAAAAATTTCTTTTTGTTTTAATTTTTTTTCCGTCTCAAAATTTATATACATTGTAATAGGTTAAGGAATTTAAGTTTTCTTGTAAAATTCTTGTTAGTAGGATAAGTTTTGTAGATTTTAGTGAAATTGGTTTTGAGATCTTATAATTACATTAGTGTATCCTTCTTTTCTAACTTTTCCCTACATTTTAAAAAATAATAACAAAATTACACAAGTTTCTGTTGAGATCATTTTTTGTGAGCATGGCTACAGAACTGTAGGACATGGAAAAATGTCTTATTACTACACAGTAAATGTATCAAAGAAAAGCATTTGGATTTGCTAAAGGATCTTTCAGGTTTCTGTACCGCATTGCTATCATCACTCCAATAATCTGAAAAATAATAAAACGTATAGCAAATATTGACTTCAGAAAAACTTATTTAAATTTTAAGAGTATAAAGTACTCAATCATAACAAAGCTTTCTTTGCCAGTTAACTTTCATAGGTTTGAGAACAATTGGTACAAAAGTGTCACAGTTTTTATGAATTTTTTATAAAAATTTTCAAAACTTGATTTATCATGGTTATACCTTTTTTGTTCGTGTGTATGTTTGATTTTGTGTATGCGTGCCTGTATAACAGATAAAACAGAGTTAATATAAAAACAAATAAAAATGGAATCAAAGATAATAATACCCAAACAAGGCAAAATAACAGCAATTTAACATGCATGTGAACCAACAATTAAAATTCAATAAAAGATACAGATTAAAAGTTTTTAGTTCATCTAGATAATTGGCCCATAGACAAATCTACTGTAAATTCAGAAATTATTGCGAAGATTTTATTAATGCGAATAATGCGACTAGGTGAGTATCGCAATAATAAAAACTCGCATTTTGATAACTAAAACATAGATCTGTATGTAGATTTTTCTGAAATTGCAATAATTAAAATCGCATTCTTGTCCATTTTTGAATAAAATGCTCCGCAGGGCGCAGCTTGATACAACTGCAGAGGTCGAACCCTGAACAGTTGGGGCAAGTATGGACACAACATTCAAGCTTGATACAGCTCTGAATTTGGATTGTGATTAAATATTTGACACAGCATAGGTTTCTGACACAGAATGAATGTGGTCTAAGAACTTAAAAATTTTAAATTGGACATTCACCTATTATGGTCCAATATCCAAAATCTAAAAAATACATGGTTAGATTCAGCATATCAAAGAACCCCAAGAATTCAATTTTTGATGAAATCAAACAAAGTTTAATTTTGGACCCTTTTGACCTCAATGTGGACAAAGTTGATAACGGGGCCCAAAAATCAAAAATCTAAATACATGGTTAGATTCAGCATATCAAAGAACTCCATACATTCAATTTTTGTTGAAATCAAACAAAGTTTAATTTTGGACCCAGATTTGGACCAACTTGTAAACTGGGCCCATAATCAAAAATCTAAATACATGTTTAGATTCAGCATATCAAAGAACCCTAAGAATTCAATTTTTGTTAAAATCAAACTTAGTTTAATTTTGGACCCTTTGGACCTTAATGTAGACCATTTTGAAAACGGAACCAAAAATTAAGAATCTAAATACACGGTTAGATTCGTCATATCAAAGAACCCCAATAATTCAATTTTTGATGAAATCATACAAAGTTTAATTTTGGACCCTTTGGACCTCAATGTGGACCAATTTAAAAACGGGGCCCAAAATCCAAAAACTTAATACACGGTTAGATTCAGCATATTAAAGAACCCCAAGAATTCAAGAATAAAACCCCATTGAAATTGGTCAAGAAATAAGCAATTTATACGAAGTATCTTCTTTTGCACAATACTGTGCAATTGAATATTTCTTGCTATTGCGCAATACTGCACAATTGACAATTTCTTGCTATTGCGCAATATTGTGCTATTGGATATTTCTTGCTATTGCGCAATTCTGTGCAATTGAAGATTACTTGCTATTGCGCAATACTTTGCAATTGAAGATTTCTTGCTATTGTGCAATACTGTGCAATTGAAAATTTCTTGCTATTGCACAATACTTATTATATAATAATTTACACATCCTGTTTGGTGTGTATCTCCTACCATATCATTATTATTTGCTTTTAAATATAAATCAGAAATAACCAACTTAAAAAAGAAAATTTTAAAAGAAAAAAAAAAGGAAAAAAAGAAAAAAAAGGAAAAAAAAAAAAAAATCCCCCCCCCAATTTTTTGAACCCCCTTATGATTCATCACCCCAAACTCAATCCCAGCCTTCCCTTTGTGGTATGGTATCTTGCAGTACAATTTCAGAGAGATCCATACACTTGAACACAAGTTATTGTCTGGAAACTAGAAAAATGTGTTTTTTGGCCCCTTTTTGGCCCCCAATTCCTAACCGTTTCGGGCAATTACCCCCAAACTCAATTCCAGCTTTCCCTTTGTGATATGGAACCTTGTAGTACAATTTCAGAAATATCCAAACACTTACACACAAGTTATTGTCATGAAACTAGAAAAATGCTTGTTTTTTGCCCCTTTTTTGGCCCCTAATTCCTAAAATTTTGAGGCAATTCACCCCAAAATCAATACCAGCATTCCCTGTGTGATATGGAACCTTGTGGTACAATTTCAGAGAGATCCATACACTTGAACACAAGTTATTGCCTGGAAACTAGAAAAATGCTTATTTTTGGCCCCTTTTTGGCCCTTTTTTTCTAAACGTTTCGGGCAATTACCCCCAAACTCAATTCCAGCTTTCCGTTTGTGATATGGAACCTCGTAGTACAATTTCAGAAAGATCCATACACTTTCACACAAGTTATTGTCATGAAACTAGAAAAATGCTTGTTTTTTGCCCCTTTTTTGGCCCCTAATTCCTAATATTTTGAGGGAATTACCCCCAAAATCAATCCCAGCATTCCCTTCGTGATATGGAACCTTGTGGTACAATGTCAGAGAGATCCATACACTAACACACAAGTTATGTCTGGAAGTTACAAAAATGCTTATTTTTGGCCCCTTTTTGGCCCCTAATTCCTTAACTGTTGGTACCATAACCCCCAAAATCAATCCCAACCTTCCTTTTGTGGTATTGAACCTTATGGTAAAATTTCATAGAGATCCATTTACTTAAACTAAAGTTAGAGTGCGAAAAACCAATGTGTCTTCGGATGACGCCAACGACGTCATACCAATATACGACCACAAAAATTTTTGCGGTCGTATAAAAATCGCAATATTAAATGCACGCAATAATTTCCGAATTTACAGTACTTTGCAAACATTTCACCACAGCTGGATACAACCACACAGGTCCAACCCTGAACAGTTGGGGCAAAAATGGACACAATATTCAAGCTTGATACAGGTCTGAATTTGGATTGTAATTAAATATTTGACACATTATAAGTTTCTGACACAGAATAAATGTAGTCAAAGAACTTGAAATTGGTTATATGATTTGAATTTATATTCAATTGAAGATTTCTTGCTGTTGTGCAATACACTGTGCTGTTTCACAATACTTATATTAGTAAATCTGTTTTCAGACTATATACAAAGAATTAGCAAAATAAATTGTGACCCCCAATTTTTCTTGGAAAATTGACAATTTCTTAAATCTTGAGGGAAAAAAATTGACACTCCCCAAAAAATGTTTTTTTTTTACTCCCTCCTACACTGCCCCTTTTCCAAAAAAAAAAATGATATTTGAGGAAAAACATTGCCCCCCCCAAAAAAAAAATTTGTGGTACAATTTCAGAGCAATCAAAATACTTATTCACAAGTTATTGTCCTGAAACTAGTAAAAAGTTTTTTTGGGGCCCTTTTTTGGCCCTAATTCCTGAACGGTTTGGGCAATTACCCCCAAAATGAATCCCAACCTTCTACTTGTGGTATTGAACCTTGTGGTACAATTTCAGAGCAATCAAAATACTAATACACAAGTTATTGTCCTGAAACTAGAAAACTGCTTGTTATGGGCCCCTTTTTGGCCCCTAATTCCAAAACGGTTGGGACCATCACCCCCAAAAACAATCCCAACCTTCCTTTTGTGGTGTTGAACCTTTTGTTAAATTTCATAGAGATCCATCCACTTAAACTAAAGTTACTGTTCGGAAACCAAATGTCTTCGGACGACAACGTGATAGCAATATACGACCCCAAAATTTGTTTGCGGTCGTATAAAAAAACTGTGAGCATAATTAACAAATTGAATCCCCTGCTCTTAACTATTAACTATTTGTATAATTATGAAACTGTCAATGTTTTGCTATGTAAAACCCACCAAAAAAGTTATAAAAAAAATAACTATGAATATACATGATAAAATAGGAGTTGCATAATGCCATATGGTACTGAAGATTTTCTAAAGGTTGTCTCATTTTGAAAGAATATGGCCCCTTCTACAAATGATGTTAACATAAATATGGTGGAAAATATGTATTGCTGCATGTATGGAATCTTTCTTGAAATATTGCATTATGTATTGAAAGTTATTTCTAGCAAATCTTTCCATCTCTTATAACAAGTCACATGTTTAGAAGGAATTGTAGATACCAAGTGCTGAAAGAAAAGGACAGGCACAACTTTCACTATACATCCAATCATTACAACATGAGAGCCATTCTGCATCAGCAGAATATAAATAACCTGTCTTTTCATAGAATGTTGCATTTTAAACATGTACATGTAACCCTGACAATTGATGGTGATATATGTAATTCAGTTACTATATTAAAAAGGAACTGTAATGAAGAAAAACCTTTTATAACAGCTCTTTCTAAATAACATCAACATACTGAATTTAAATCTGTTTTTCTTGGAAATGCTTGGACTATCATATGGAATTTATAGTTTATATAATATAATAACCAATGTATCTAGACAATAATCAGAATGACGATCAAACATTTATCATGAGTATTTTTTCTATATAAGTTATTGCATGGTTGCTGCACACGTGATGATTGCTTTGCACAGAGCATCTTGGTCCTTTTAATAATCACATGATTAAATAGTGTCTAGATACCTTATTTTCAAAGACATAACCAACACACAGTTCAATATTTTCTCTTCTCCTTTAGTCCTTGTACATGTTATATGAAGTGTTACATATATTTTAATTCTCCCCTTTACCTATATCCCTATATACGATGATATACATAAAAATAAGACTATGTTTTAATATTTTACTATTAATCTACTATTATATAGTTTTGAGAAAATCAGAGTTAATGTGAAAAGTCGTGAGTCCTTTGATACACATTTTAAGTGATAAAAAGTTTGCACCTATTGGGGTGATTAGTTTGTGTTTTCTATAGGCAGATATAAATTGTGGCTGATATCAGTGAAATGCAAAGTGAATTGTGTTTATATTTAAATCTGCAGGTAAAATCGAAATGAAAATGAGTCTGACATGCTTTTCAAGTCGTAAAAAATCTCATGTTCACTATTTAGAGTATTATACAACAGATAGTGAACCTGAGATTTTTTATAAGGGCTATTCCATTAAAATGTATGTGGGAGGGTAGGAAGGGACTTTCAAAATATCCCTACAACCAAGAACCATTTTTTAGATAATTTTGCATAATGGTAATAGACTCATACTGAAATAATTAAACTTCCCTTCCTACTCTCCCACATACATTTTAATGGAATAGCCCTAACATAGTGTCTAAATTCAAACTCAAAATTGTGTCTTTAAACATGAATTTTCGATTATCATTATTCCTGTATACAGTATATACATTCACTGTACCCTCTGTTGACGTAATAATACAAGCTCCACAGTCCCTAAGGACCTAAGCTCACATATATTTGGCTCTCATCCCTATCTCTAGAGATATACCAGTAAAAGCCAGGGACCCAAAAACATTACTCAAAGGAGCCATGAGTCCATAATTGGATCTTGGCCAACAATCAAATTAGATGAAACCAAGAGCCCAGAGCCTATGTTATTCTCCAACACTGAATTGACAGCATCCACACTGATTTTGTTGTTAGCTGTAAAATTAGACATGTTAGATGAAAGTAAACATATATTTATATGGTAGTTAAATTAAACCAACAATATCACTAACAGGAAGCATAAGCAAGAAACCATGCAGGAAAGGAGAAATCCTCATAATGCTTCATTACTGCATATTAATATTTATACATTTATTTGAATATATTTATAGAAAATTTAGACAATGGCCTACCTGTATTTTAAAAATGATTGATTTTAAGTTTTCAGAATTTGTTTTGTTTTAGGGTCTGTATAATTACTAAACAGATTTATGTGCACTATAACATGAGAATTAATTACCACGGGTACATACATTATGTTCCGTACAAATAACTAAGTGTTGAATTTCTCTATTTGACCTTTGAACATGAACATTTTTGCTCAGGGTAATTTTTCTGCTTATTTTGTGATAACGTAAACTGCCCATAAATATCAGTGAATAATTGATATTAAAAAAGTGAAGGGCACACTTATTATTTGATATTTGAGTTAAATCTCAACAAAAATAGTTTACTCCTTGAAATTGTTGTGAAAATATCAATGTGTACACAGCATTTTAAGGGTTTCAGTTTGAAAATTATCATGTTAGAACATGTAATAAAACAAAAACATAAATAAGTTATCTTTGACCATGTTTTTCTTCTGCATCCCTTACACGTTTATATATAAACCATTATATGCATCGCAAATGCTAATTATTTATATCCTTTAATCTCTTTTTTTTTTAAATTGTAGTTTAATTGGTTTAACTGTATTGGAAATTTCTTTAATTTACTAGATTTTACAATGTGTTATGTTAATTTCTTTTTTAATTTGTAATCTTTTAAGTTTGACTTCAAAGGGAGATAATATCCAAAGACGTAGTCAAAACTTTAGATGTTTAATTTTTCACTGATTGCAATATTTACATTTGGTTCATTAGCATGTTCAGAAACATTTTTTATTATGATTTATCTAATATGAAATATAAAAGTCATAAAACTTTGGATTAGTTTTAATTTATGAAAGATTAATTCAAAACTCAGCAAGACTTTGACATTTCCATTTTGTAGTTTGTTAAATTTATTAATTTATTAAGTGTTAGGAATCTTCATTTAACTTATAGTTCTATTGACGTCAAAAAGTAGGAAAAAAAATAAAATTTTCTTAGTTTCCTTGTATAAAGAAAAATTTCTATGACTTTATGACCAAACTATTGATAAAAACAACATTACTCTGTAAAACACATTTTTTTTTCATAAAAAGAGGAGTTTGCGACCTCGTAATTTAAAAACTTGTGCCTTATCCATTGTCACTTTCCGTAATTTAACAATAAAGTATGTTTAAAGTATTTCTTAGTAAAGCTATGAGGATCTTTTAAGAACTGAAAACAAGGAATTAAAGCCAAATACTAAACCAAAAATAAAAACCAACACCACTGACCATGCAGTGTTAGTACGTACTAATGTTAAAGAAATGAGCTTGGATTTGCTCGCGGATCTTTTTGGTTTCTATAACGTATTGTTATCCAAACACCAATGATCTGAAACACAAAATATCATCATGGTTAAACTAGTGCACGTTACAAACAATCATGGTATTAACGTGGAACAACAAAACAAACATGTGCAAGCAATTATTCTAGCAGGCTTAATTTATTAATATTTACATGCTTAAATGTACCATTCTGTTCACCATGCAGTATTTTTTTAAACTCATGCCCCAGTATCATAAACCGTGCTCTTTTTCCAAACATAAAATTTAAACCCCGTCAGGGCCTTGTCAAATATAAGATAAAGGTGACATGATGATGGTTGTAAGATCTATCATGCCAAGGATTGTAATAAATTGGAATTATATTGTGAGGGGGTGGACAGGGGGTACCCTTCATCCACCTCCCGCCTCCAATCTCCCACCTCCCACTTTTAGAATCTTTTTTTCTCTCCCATCTATTTTTTGTCTCCCACCTCACACATCCCCCCCTCCCTCAAAAGCTGTCCTACCCCTCTATTGTATATCATAGCTTGTTTCTTATATAGAAATTGCAAAATCTACCATATCATGTATACATGTGTAAAATGAATGATAACATTTTTAAATCAGAAACTGTTCCTACATGACATACATTGTAATATTTTTATCTTTAGGCAGAAACACTTCTTTCAAGTGCATCTGATTTTGAAAAAAAAAAGTCCCACTTAAACCACATTTTGGCTTTTAAATCTAGAAGTTGGAAATCATGGAATTGTCATTCTTAAGAGGTTCACAAGACTCTACTTGCCAGATCTATATAGTCATGATAGTACATAGTTCTTTTAAATAATCAATTCATAAATTTCTATGATTTTTTTTTCAACAGGAAAATTAAAATATAGATCTAAGAGCCTTTAATTACATTAAAAAGTATTCTAATAATAAACTGCACTAAAATGAGCCCATGATATGCTGCCCTTTATTTTATACCATAAACATGATAAAAGGCCAATAACCATGTTAACTACAGAACTAGAAATCTGAAAATATTAAATATACATATAAGAATATATTTCTTTTCAAATTTAGCCCAACAATGTTAATAGATCTGCAAATTTGCATTAACAAATTTTTTATTTTTATTCTTCCCTAAAGTGGGCTTCGAATCCTTGCTTCTGTGACATTGTGGAAACACCACCTACACTGATTATCTGTTGTAAAATTGTCACACGTTTAGACGTAAAGAGAGAGAGACAAATCATTTACATTATTGCAGAAAATTTGACAATATGATCAGTAAATATTCAAAAGCGTGATCCTCCCATTCGAGTTATTATGAGATTCAAATATAAATAGATTATTACGTTGACATTGTTTATAATTCCATTTTTTGGGGGTCTTTTGAAAAAGCTATTTCAAACACTTGCATGACCCTCAGCTATTGCTATTGATTTTAAACAAAATATCACAGCTTAAAAGTATTATGATTATTAACAACGTACATATAAAAGTTTTCAATCAAATATTGTTTTGCCATTATACCTAGCACTACAAAAGTATACTACATGTATGTGCTGGCAGTTTTATAAACTTCTCCAAAGTCTCACCTCTGTAAAACTGAAGAAGAGACCAACTCCACCAGTGCTAGAGAAAGCTGTGTGTATGGCCTCTTTCATCTCTGATTCACATGGTTTACAAATTCCATTATATGTTAATGTTTCATTTGGTTTAAAATCCTTTGAACAGACAGGATCAGCAGGTTTAGTTGAATTGTTACAGCATGCCAACTGTTACAAAATGAAAAAAAGAATTGTGCATTATTTCTGTTCAACATACAAGATAGAGCATAATTCTTTTTTGTTAAAAAAAGGTTGTCTTATTTACCAAAATGTACACACTTGCAAGGTTAACTTTGGATGGACAATTTAATAATCTGTATTACTTTCCAAACAATTTACTTTATGTTGCTTGTTGCATCAAGCTATACACACAACCAGGAATCTATTAAACATAGTAGTTATATATGTGTATATAGTTTTTGGACCCATCTTAAGCTGGTGAAAATGTGAAAATTTTTCCTGTTTATATTGTTTTATCAGAAATCAAGCTGTAGGTTTCCTAGTTTGTATACGTATTGTTTTACATTTTGTGAGATCTGGGCCTTTTATATCTATTCTTAATATACAGCATGGGTTTTGCAAATTGTTGAAGGCCGTATGGTGACCTACAGTTGATATAAACATCTACACCATTTAGTCTCTGGTGAAGAGTTGTCTAATTGGCAATCATACCAAATCTTCTTGTTTCTAAATCAGTTGTCCAAGAGGACAGAAATACCATTGTATATGCATATTGATAATGCAAAAAAAGGAAAATATATGCTATTGAATTTTATCACCAATCTTTAAATGTCCTTCTTCAACACAGCATTACATTCAATTTCTCTCATGTGTTACAGCACAATTGAAACAGATCTATGCCATATTTATTCAAATAAATATTTCACATGACACGAAATTTTAATAACTTATTCATATAATTTAAAGCTTCTTTAGAGAGCATTAAGAGCCTGTAATTCAATATTGCAGCTGCCTGTCAAATATCAGAAATGAAGCCTTTGCTTTCCTCAATTCAATTGTTTATCATTTTGTCAGGTTTAGGCCTTTTAATTTTATATCATACTATACAGCATGTGTATTGCTAACTGTTGGGGGCTGTCCCGTGACATATACAATGATATAGTTGCTTATATCCTTGTCATTTGCTGTCTGGGAATCTCATTGGTAATCTTACCACTTGTCCTTATTTTTTATATTAGGTGCCCAAGTGGACAGAAACCTCTTTGTATGCACATTAATCATGCAGGAAAGAGGAATATATTCTATTGAATTTTATCACCAGTCTTTACATGTCTTTCTTCAACACAACAGTACATATTTCCTGAAGCTTATTCATATATAAGCTTAATCTTATTCTGTTGTATGCACATTACATTGAAAAGACAATCTGATTTTAATATTACCCACATGCAAGACATGTGCTACTTGTAAAACTTACTTTTGCACAGGAAGGATGAGGGTATTTTATTGGATCAGAATATCCACAGCAATCATATTTGTTTTGGACAGCTGTTAATGACTTTTCACTAGCTGCAGTCCAGGCTTGATTTGCAAAGTAACTACGCTGATCAGCATTGACTGCAAGACAGGCACATGCTATAGAGAACTGGAACAGGAACAGTAGAAATAATATTACCATGTACTGGTACACTGTTAAGGAAGTTGCTTGTAAATACAGTTTCTGTGCAAGCTTGGACCAGACTGGTACCATCACCCTTTATTCAATTATTTATGAATTTAAAATATCAGGTAAGCATCCATTTCCCTTTCCTCTCCATTTCTGTAAATCTTTTAATGTTTCTTCAAAAAACTTTGCTTGCATTTATTATTCATGTTATTGCAATTTTTAAAGACTGGACAAAAATGTGAGATTAAGCATTGTGATTTCAGTAAATGCTGTATACAAATAATGCTATCAAAACATTACAAAATTTAAAATGGAAGTTTCTATTTTTGCGTTAAGTTTTCCATAACAATTTTTGCAATAATCATGATAAAAATGAAAACAATGGAAAAAAATTCTGAATTTTCAGTAAAAGTTCATAATTCACCATGGAAGAATTGTCAAAACTACATGTATGTGACATAGTAAAGAGTTATACATGTACATGTTTTTATAGTTGTACTTAAAATTTGATCAGTATGTACCGGTATACAAATATGTTGTCAGAATGATGACATGCTATGAATATAGTATCTAGTATGAATAATTTCGACAGTTTGAAAAAAGGGCCCAAACTTTAAATTCATCTCAAAATAATCAGAAATTATGTGAAATAAAATGCTTCGCAGGGCGCAGCTTGATACGACCGCAGAGGTCGAACCCTCAACAGTTGGGGCAAGTATGGACACAACATTCAAGCTTGATACAGCTCTGAATTTGGATTGTGATTAAATATTTGACACAGCATAGGTTTCTGACACAGAATGAATGTGGTCTAAGAACTTAAAAATTTTAAATTGGACATTCACCTATTATGGTCCAATATCCAAAATCTAAATACATGGTTAGATTCAGCATATCAAAGAACCCCAAGAATTCAATTTTTGATGAAATCAAACAAAGTTTAATTTTGGACCCCGATTTGGACCAACTTGAAAACTGGGCCCATAATCAAAAATCTAAATACATGTTTAGATTCAGCATATCAAAGAACCCTAAAAATTAAATTTTTGTTAAAATCAAACTAAGTTTAATTTTGGACCCTTTGGACCTTAATGTAGACCAATTTGAAAACGGAACCAAAAATTAAGAATCTAAATACACGGTAAGATTCGGCATATCAAAGAACCCCAATAATTCAATTTTTGATGAAATCAAACAAAGTTAAATTTTGGACCCTTTTGACCTCAATGTGGACAAAGTTGATAACAGGGCCCAAAAATCAAAAATCTAAATACATGGTTAGATTCAGCATATCAAAGAACCCCATATATTCAATTTTTGTTGAAATCAAACAAAGTTTAATTTTGGACCCCGATTTGGACCAACTTGAAAACTGGGCCCATAATCAAAAATCTAAACACATGTTTAGATTCAGCATATCAAAGAACCCTAAAAATTCAATTTTTGTTAAAATCAAACTAAGTTTAATTTTGGACCCTTTGGACCTTAATGTAGACCAATTTGAAAACGGAACCAAAAATTAAGAATCTAAATACACGGTTAGATTCAGCATATCAAAGAACCCCAATAATTCAATTTTTGATGAAATCAAACAAAGTTAAATTTTGGACCCTTTGGACCTCAATGTGGACCAATTTAAAAACGGGGCCCAAAATCCAAAAACTTAATACACGGTTAGATTCAGCATGTTAAAGAACCCCAAGAATTCAAGAATAAAACCCCATTGAAATTGATCAAGAAATAAGCAATTTATACGAAGTATCTTCTTTTGCACAATACTGTGCAATTGAATATTTCTTGCTATTGCGCAATACTGTGCAATTGACAATTTCTTGCTATTGTGCAATATTGTGCTATTGGATATTTCTTGCTATTGCGCAATACTGTGCAATTGAAGATTTCTTGCTATTGCGCAATACTGTGCAATTGAAGATTTCTTGCTATTGTGCAATACTGTGCAATTGAAAATTTCTTGCCATTGCGCAATACTTATTAGATAATAATTTACACATCCTGTTTGGTGTGTATCTCCTACCATATCATTATTATTTGCTTTTAAATATTAATCAGAAATAACCAACTTAAAATGGAAAATTTTAAAAGAAAAAAAAAAGGAAAAAAAAAAAAAAAAAAAATCCCCCCCCAAATTTTTTGAACCCCCTTATGATTCATCACCCCCAAACTCAATCCCAGCCTTCCCTCTGTGGTATGGTACCTTGCAGTACAATTTCATAGAGATCTATACACTTGAACACAAGTTATTGTCTGGAAACTAGAAAAATGCTTATTTTTGGCCCCTTTTTGGCCCCCAATTCCTAAACGTTTCGGGCAATTACCCCCAAACTCAATTCCAGCTTTCCCTTTGTGATATGGAACCTTGTAGAACCTTGTAGTACAATTTCAGAAATATCCAAACACTTACACACAAGTTATTGTCATGAAACTAGAAAAATGCTTGTTTTTTGCCCCTTTTTTGGCCCCTAATTCCTAAAATTTTGAGGCAATTACCCCCAAAATCAATTACAGCCTTTCCTTTGTGATATGGAACCTTGTGGTACAATGTCAGAGAGATCCATACACTTACACAAAAGTTATTGTCTGGAAGTTACAAAAATGCTTATTTTTGGCCCTTTTTGGCCCCTAATTCCTTAACTGTTGGTACCATAACCCCCAAAATCAATCCCAACCTTCCTTTCGTGGTATTGAACCTAATGGTAAAATTTCATGGAGATCCATTCACTTAAACTAAAGTTAGAGTGCGAAAACCAATGTGTCTTCGGACGACGCCGGACGACGCCAGACGACGACGACGACGACGCCTGACGACGACGACGCCAACGTCATACCAATATACGACCAGAAAATTTTTAATTTTTGCGGTCGTATAAAAATTACCAAATCCTTATGTATTACATGTAATTTACAATACACATGATACTGGAATTCCTCAATTTTCCAAAAGTATATTCAAATTTTTGCAATTAAAAAGAGTGAAGGCATATATACAAAAAAATGCCATAACACAAGAAACTGTGAAAAAGGATACAAAAAACAGCAAGACTTGGTGATGTTTAACAGCTCCTACATAACCAATGATAGCTATCAGCATCAGGAACACCCCAGAAGCAATAACTCCTCCCACTAATGACAAACTGACAATGATTGACACGACCTGGCTATATGCTGCGACACCAATTAAAATCAAGGCTACAATCTGAAAAAGTAAAAAGAGTATTCAGATATGCCTACATAAACATGATAAATGGATAACATTGTCCTAGAAATACATTTAATTTGTCTTTTATGCCTTCAGCTCTACATCTCGCCGCAAATTAAAATAAATCTTGAACATCCTAACTTACACTACACATGCTATACTTAATTAAAGAACCTTTGTGAGCACTCTCACATACCTCACGCCCCCACATTGATACTGGCAGAGTTCTCGAAAAGTGGTGGTCCGAAGGTTTTGACCACCAAAATTTGCAAAGGACTGACACAAGTTTTGTATTTTGCAATAGAAATAATAGTGAGGACCACCAGGGAAAAAAGATTTTGAGAACTCTGTACTGGGCAAACAAAATCTCACCAGATTCCTAAGTTCAAAGACCAATAATTCCCACAAAACAATGCAAAAGTACATGTAAACTGATAAAAATTTCTTGTTGATATGCACATCTACATACAACATGTAGTATGTCTTCATTCATGAAATTCTGTTGTGTGGTTTCAGATGAGTTGATATGCATTTTTATCATGATTAAAGAACCTTTGTGAGCACTCTCACATACCCCAGCTGGCAAACTGTTGCAGTAGCATGTATAAAGGTCAAAATTCTAAGTTCGAAAGGACATAACTCCTAGAAAAAACATTGACTCATAATGTGCTGTCGATATACATTACATGATATATGCTTATCTACTTGGTATGTTCTAATTACATGTACTTATCTATATAATCTACAAAGTTTAATGAAATTTTGTTGTGTGGTTTTAGAGGAGTTGCAATGACAAGAACAGGACTGACAAGTCAAAAACATTATACTCTTAAGCAACTTTATTGTGGTGGGGTATTTGAAAGACAAAATTACCCACAGATTTGAATTTTTTATCCTAAATAAACTGCTTCGCTGAGCGCAGCTAGATACGCCTGCAGAGGTCCAACCCTGAACAGTTGGGGCAAAAATGGACACAATATTCAAGCTTGATTCAGGTCTGAATTTGGATTGTAATTAAATATTTGACATATCATAGGTTTCTGAATAAATGTAGTCAAAGAACTTGAAATTGGTTATATGAATTGAATTTATATTCAATTACAGATTTCTTGCTGTTGTGCAATACTTAGTATATCTGTTGTCAGCCTATAAACAAATAAAGTTCAATTAATTCTCAATGTCATATTAGAAATTTATGAAAATAAAAAGGGAGCTTACATCAATAGATATAAACAATTCACCAAAGTTTCATGAGAATTGGTGACAGCATTTTTGAGTTATTGTCCGAAAACTGGAAAATCACCCCTTTTTTTAATGAATAAAACCCCATAACTTAGAAATGTAAAATGTAAAATTTATAAAATTTGAAAGAGAGCTTACATCAATACATACAAACAATTTACCAAAGTTTCATAAGAATTGCTGAAAGCATTTTTGAGTTTTTGTCCGAAAACTGGAAAATCCCCCCTTTTTTTATGAATAAAACCCTGTAACTTGGAAACATAAAATCTAAAATTTATAAAAATCGAAAAGGAGCTCAAGTCAATAGATATAAAAAATTCACCACAATTTCTTGCAAGTTGGTGAAAGCATTCTTGACTTATTGTCCGAAAACTGGAAAATCCCCCTTTTTTTATGAATAAAACCCCATAACTTGGAAACGTAAAATCTAAATTTTATAAAAAACGAAAGGGAGCTCACGTCAATACATATAAACAATTCACCAAAGTTTTATACAAATTGGTGAAAGCATTTTTGAGTTAATGTCTAACATGTTGACGATGGACAGACAGACGGACGGACAGACGGACAACGGTATACCATAATACGTCCAGTAAACGGGCGTATAATAAAAAATAAAAAAAAACATCCATACAGACCAATGAGAACTGTTAAAATAAAACTGTACCACAACTGATGAATTTCTGAAACAAAAGCCACATGGAAAACATTTATTCACAGTGTGTTCCACTTTATAAAGTACATACATATATGTGATATACATTTAAACCCAAACATGCCAAAGATACATTGTAAATGAAATGGTAGAATATCTAAAAGTAAAAAAAAAATGTTCTAAAAATGAATGATTATTTTATTATTTATTATGTCATTTATGTCAAAACATTTTTGAGAAAACTACATTTAATGAGATACTAACTTCATCACTGAACATGCATGAATAAATTAATGTTAATAACACTTTAGAGTTTAGACTATAGACATGTTAGAACTCTTGAACTTTAAATGCACATGACACAAGAACAGATCACACACGAATATATTTGGTACTTTTATTATTTTTGTCTCCTGTCATGTCTGTGCAAGAATAGAGTATCAATTTAACTTTAAGAGGGCCGGGTTATTTTATTTTGGTATTTTGATGAAAAAAGATTGGCTTGAAATTAAAGGTGAAAATTAAAAAAAGTTAATTTAATTTAAGTTGTTGAGATCAAATAATTTGTCCTAGAGGCATAAAAACACCAAGCCTTCACCCCCTGGAAACTGATTGGTCCCTATAAAACTAGATTATAATGATTACAAGCACAATCTGTAGCACAGACAAATATACAGCTGTTACCACTATAACTGCATTGGATATGTATTCATTTGTTATAAAATCAATAAATGACTGTGTAGAGAGTGTGTACCTAATTAAATCTGTCATTCATAAAAACATTAGCCATTTACATGGAGTATCTGCAAGCAATTTCAAATAAGACTATATTTATATAAACACTAAACATGACAAATAAACCTATTAAATTATAACGTGGATACAGGTCTCAGATATCAGGAGCTGGAATTCAGTGGTTGTGATCATTTGTTAAAACATTGTTTTTTTTTATCAAATAAATATTTTAAATCTAAATATGTTAAAAGCAAAATTATTCTGTATGTGTTAATAATTTGAAAATTAGCCCTGTTTATTGAATTAATAATCGAATATTGAAGTTTTCAAATGTTTTATTTTTCTTAATTTCACTTCAACATGTTCAATTTTAACCTATATAATTATTTTTGTCCTAAACAATGTACAAACTTTACGATTATTGAGGATTCGTTGGAAAAAAAATGACAAAGACTGTTTAGAGTTGAGAACAAAAGTCATTTCATACAAGAGGATGCAGATAAAATTTCATAGATCTACCAGTAAAAAGCGATTTTGTATTTTTGAAACTGCATTTAATAAAAAAATGTTTCTAATCTATCCATATAATCAGCTGTGTACAGTTGGTAAAACAGCTACATGAATTCAATAAAATTTTATGGCAGCCAGAGTAATCTGATAATATTCTACATGTTTTCGACTTATACATTTGTATTTCAGTATTTTGCCACTGGCATGGAATTTGTGGTCATAACATCAAAATTCTCATGTTAAACTGTAGTTTTTTATGCAAGAATAAAAGAACAATTTTTAACATGTTATATATGTCAGTTTCTATTTAAATGTTTTTTAGGGTTTTATTTGTTTGTTTAATTAAACTTGTTTTAAAAGAAGTAATATGTTTGTATATTATATAATCATGATAATATAACTGTTAATTTTATTGAATGAAATTAAACAAATACATATGTAATATAATCACATGATAATTGCAGTTGCCTCTGGCATGGATTTATGGTCTTGATATTTTTATGTTTAACTAAAGAGTTTTGTTTGTGTAAATCATTAAGAGTATTATTATTATTATTGTAAGAACACTTTCAATACTCTTTTTAATGTTAATTTTGTATTTTTGATAAATTCAAGTTTACCATGACTAAACTGCATTGGATTGGAATATTTACATATATATCTAACCTGTTCATTTCAAATAACATTATAATTATGATAACAGACAATAAAAATAATTATCATTTCCAAATATTGCTCAATTTAAAAGGAAATTTGTTTTAACCAAATATTGCTGAGGTTTGAACTACTTTTTATGGTAATTCATTTTTTTCCCGCTGATACACATAATTAATTTGGCTTGCACTAACAAAAGTTCCATTTGAAGCTACTGTGTTTAGAGACCTCTTAGATCAATGTCAGTAAACCATTACTCTTTACTTTTATTCAGGTGTTGATTTCCAAAAGACAATTTCCTCAAAATTTCCAAAACTATCCGAGTAAGACGATGTTATAATTAACTCCACCCCCTATTAGATGATCTGGGATTTGCAAATGCAATGTATAAAGTGCAGACTTTTGACTATTTGGAACCACTCACTTATATTAGCTACATAAATGATGTCTCCACCTATATGGAATAAAATTATCTGTTTAGAATATATAAATTTTGAATCTCAATTCCATAACTTTTTTTTTGCCAGCTTGAGGATCACGTCTTACCCTCTGGCTCTTCTTAAACATGTTAAAAGGCTTTAGAGATAAATATTGTTTTCTTGGGGTCACCACAATTCAGAATTTTAGGGAGTAGTGACGACTCAAGAGGGAGACTTGAGCATGTTGAGGGATCAATCGCATTAATACTTATCACTGTCAGATTTGTTCTTATGTTGTGCTGTTGCACCTCTGTCCTAGGTTGACATGGTAAATGGAGGGTTGTGCACTCTTAACATGTTTTAAACCTTCCACATTCTGTATGTGCCTGTCCCAAGTTATAAGCTTGTAAATCAGTGGTTGTCGTTTGTTGCTAAATATCATATTTGTTTTTTTTGTTCATAGTCTTTTACATAAATCAGACCCTTTTTTACATTTGTTATTTCACAGCCTTTATAGCTTGCTGTGCAGTATGGGTTTTGCTCATTGTTGAGGGCCATACAGTGACCTATTGCTACATTTGTACTTCTACATCATTTGGTCTTTGGTGAACTGTCTCATTGGTAATCATTGCACCTTCTTATTTTTATATCAAATTCCTTTTTTTCTTTTAAATCCCATACAAGTTAATATAACCTATATATATATATATATGGGTGACTGGTTTCAACATGTCTGGTATCTTGCACATTGATTTTTTTATAACTACAATGCTAGACTGTCCTCAATTATGTAGGTAATCTGTTTTTTGCAGACATATTCTTAAATCACCATGCATTGTACATGATATTACTTTATCCATTAGATGAAAGAGGGAGTTGAGCACCCGACTAGACACATGACATTGTGGTTGACAAACTGCAAAATCTACTTGTTAAAAACAATAAATCTTTCAGAACTGATAATACCTGCCTCATATGATATCCTAGTCCAAATAATTATAAATGTGTCTTTCAAGACGTCATAATTATTTGGACTATTGATATCTCTGAATACGACATTATATTATGGGGACGAGGTCCTAAATTACAGTAATAAATCAATAAAATAATTGAAAAAAAAAATTAATCTACTAATCATACTATTAAATGAACTAAAAATGGTTAACTTTCATGACTTTTTTTTTAACTTTTTCAGTTTCCCGGCGCATTTGCACAGATATTTCTTTTAATTTCATCCAGTCTCGTTTGTCACGTAAAGTATTTCAGGAACAACAAAACATGAATAAGTGAAGCCTTGTTTTTTCTAAAACTCAAAAACATACAAATCTTTTGTTTACATGGTTTAGGAGTCAATTGACCAAGTTGCATGCTTCTGGTGTAACTGACCATAACTGAATTATATTCTCTTCTATTGAAAATGTCTATTCATTGAATTTAAATGCCCAAGTGATTAACTCATCTTTTTGTCATCTCATAATTGATGATCAAGGTATGAATTGGTGAACAAAGGAATTTTTTTGTTGTGAGTTGAGCATCAAATTAGACTTGAACATGTTGAAATTAGTTTGATATTTTAATTAATAAAAACACTTGCTATCATAAAGCATTGTTATCACATGTAGAATGTGCGCTTTTGTAGATTTCATACCATAACTTGAATAGGAAAACAGGTGTCCCAGTATACTGGGGGTTTTTTAACACCAGAAAACTGGGGTGTACCTAGTCCTAATAATTATGACGTCTTGCAAGGCTATTTTTAATTTTTTTCTGTGAGTCATAATTATTTGGACTAGGGACAGTAGGGTGTACCCTGAAAACAGGGAATACCCCACTTTTCCTGACTTGAGCCCAACTTGGTTAAGATAACAGCCACATCATTCTCTGGTATACATTATTCCTTTTCTCAGATGCAAATAAAAGTTCGGTGTTAGTACTACAAAGGCTTTTTTTTACAAATAATAATACTCATAATTTCTCAAATTGATAAAAAGATGAAGGTAAACAGAACTAAAACTTACGAAATATAACACATTCAATGCTGCCAAAGCATTTTTTGAACACGAAAAGCCGCCACAAACCATAATTGCTAGCTGAAGGGTAAATTATTTTGGAGAAAATAATACTGTTACGTTGAAAGTTCCAACAAACCGACCATCACGTGATAAACCGGAAACACTGTCTGATAAAACTATTTTCGTATTCAAGAAAAATGAACACAATTCCATTCGCCTTTCCTTCGCTTACATATAATATTATGCTCTGTTTTATTAATCGATAGTGCAACAAAATATTATCCGAAAATATTGTATATAATGAGTGCGTTCGCATAGTGTAGTCTGGATGACCCCAAAAACAAATCCATATTAACGGTTTATTTCAAAATTTAACATCCCTTTAGAACATACAAACAGAGACATATAATACATATGTCTCTGATACAAAACACGAAGAAAAGGGTTATCATGGCTATTCAAGCATGAATGTATAGGTACAATATTAAGAAATTCATGTTGGAGTTCCCAAAAATATGTGTACCGAACAATGGGATTATGTTGATTTGTCTTGGATTATGCTGAGACTACTATATATCTGTTATAGTAGTCGCAGGATTATGTTAACTTGTAACAACACTTGACCAGAGCTAGACATATTTACAAGAGATTGGAAAAATCATGAAATCACATTAGGTATCGCGACCTGACGCGAAAACAAAAACGCCAAACCGAAAACACGAAAACGCTGCCACTACCCAGCTTAAAGCCTCTTCCGAACATTTGAAAGGTCCGACTATATACTGGTTACCTTAATTACACAAACAACCATTTAAATTCAGTTTCATCTCCGCATCTAGTAAGTGCTTCTAACTACCTCCCTTACTACTATCAACAGGTAGAAGGTATTCCTATGGGCACTAACTGCGCCCCTTTAATAGCAGATTTATTCCTGTATTGCTATGAATCTCAGTTTATGACCAAACTCAGTAAAGACACGTCATTGTTACATTTGGTTGATACATTCCACAATACCTACCGTTATCTTGATGATATTGTTTCGTTAAATAATCCAGAGTTCTCTAAATATACTACCGAAATTTACCCAAAGGAACTTACTTTAAATAAATCTAACATAAACAGCAGTAGTTGTCCTTTTTTAGATTTAGACATATCAATTTCTAAAGGGAAAGTCCATACAAAAATTTACGACAAAAGACTGACGATTTTTCATTCCCTGTTGTTAATTTTCCTTTGGCCCAGTCATACGGTGTTTATATATCCCAACTCGTTCGTTATGCCCGTGTGTGTAGTGATGTCATAGATTTTAACGAACGTAATCAATGCATCACTGGTAAATTATTAAGTCAGGGATTTCGTTACCATAAATTACGTAAAACTTTTACTAAATTCTTTCATAGATACAAAGATTTGATTAGTAAATTTGGCTGTACCTGTAGAAAACTTATTAAGAACGGTATTTCACATCCTAAATTTTACGGTAATATTGTACTAAAAGCGCGGAAATTACTATGTGATCCGTGTAAGCTCATCGAACCATTAAACAAACTTATTAGTAAAGGTTATCTTACCAATGTTGTTATTAGATCTTTTAATATACATTTTTCGATTTTGTCATCAGCAAATTAAAACATAACTAAATTTGTAGTCTTTTCTAACGGTTTTTTGGGATGTATAAATACACATCCACGTTCATTTTCTATTTAGAGATTACTCTATCTATATATAACATTATATATATCTATTAAAAGGTTAACCCCTAACTATCCTACTGCATGTCGATACTTTTATTTTGGCATTGCACAAGTCGTGTCATCTTTGACTGTCCATGACGTTAAAACACTAAATCCCTGGGATGTGTTTTAGTTGATTTTAGCCTCTGATGCATGATTTTTTATTATTAATTGTTTTTGGCTTTTAATTAGCTTTCCGAGTAACTGCGAGTACTCTCAAATCGTACTTTCGTGTTATTTGACCTGTTGATACAATTTATAATGTATTTTTGTTAATTGATGTTTACTTATTTAGTGTTATATCTCGTCTCACCTTTTTTTTAATATTTACCACCTTTGATAAGTGTTTAGTATGACGATAAATTTTCACTTCTGTTCTCGTACTATGAACAACAAAATTATTTATTTTGTAAAAAATATTTCCGTACTCTATGTATACCTTACAACAAAATTATTTTTATTTACCGTGTACGTTGCTTTATTTGGCGGCATTTTGTCCAAGGCTATGGTTGTCTTTCTGATATTATTTTACATCTAACCCCTTTGTTTTATTAATTTTGTATTTACATTGTGTCATAGTTCAAATTTATTCGTTCAGTGTATGTTCACTTGTTTATGTTAATATGTCGTTTGATTGAGTTAAGCCATTGCAATTGATATTTTATAGTGTCTGTGTCTTTCTATGTTGTAATGTTACACTATTGTTTCAGGCTAGGGGGAAGTTTGGATTGTTTCAGGCTAGGGGGAAGGTTAGCGCCTATTAAAACGTTTTAACCCGCTGCATTTGTTTGCACCTGTCCTATTTCAGGAACCTTATGTCCAGTGGTTGTCGTTTGTTGAATATGTGGTTCATAAGTGTTTCTCGTTTCTCGTTTTTTATATAGATTAGACCGTTGGTTTTCCTGTTTGAATGGTTTTACACTAGTCATTTTTGGGGCCCTTTATAGCTTGCTGTTCGGTGTGAGCCAAGGCCGCGTCCGTGTTGAAGGCCGTACTTTGACCTATAATGGTTTACTTTTACAAATTGTGACTTGGATGGAGAGTTGTCTCATTGGCACTCATACCACATCTTTTTATATCTATATATTGTCATACAAAAATCTATGAAGATATAGAAAATTCAGTAAGAAATGTGTGCTATATATATATATGTATATGAGATGCACCAACATCATTGTAAAGGGTGAAAATATAACCATACGTATAGTACACGAAAACAAAATGTAAACCGTATTAATGCTTTAAATTATATTTTCTAGTTATCAATTTTAATTTCCTTTTTGATTTATAACATAATGAAACGTTTATCCAAATAACAAAAAAGTTCAAAAGAAGAATTTCAAACAATGGACGACCTCTTTATAATGTATCAGCATTTCATGCGTATTATAGACTAGACCGGTGCCATCTAAATTATCCATCGAGATGACCTCCGAACTGAGTGCCGATGATCCCATATAAACATAAATATAAAAAATAAATAGACAGACAAGCTGTTTTTATCGTTTATGACGATTTTTCTAGCTCTGTTCGATTTCAAATAATAGCTAGAATAAAAAAACATATGTTAATCATTGTTTTATCTCGGCATAAGAACGATTTCAAGAACTTTTGTGGGCCGGACCAGTCAACCGTCGAAAATAGTTATTACTGGAGGCTCCCTTGTTTCAATTTTCAATGTTGCCATTCTTTTGTTTTTAAAATGAATGGACATGCTGAACACCTGTGCACACAATCTCCAGCCTGGGACATAGTATAATAGTCCCATATCAAGCTAAGAGCCAAATTAAAGGTTCCATGAAAACGGATTCAACTCAGTGAGATTGTTGCAGGCCAATAATACATCAACGACGTTTGTGTGCTTATTTTGACGAAATTGAACCGAACTGTCTGCTATTATCGAAATCTTATGTCTATATTCCGCTTAAATAATTAATGTTTGAAACAAAATAAAATCATGTTTTTAACATGTTTAATATGCCTAATGAATTTTTGTAAAAGATTGTCTCACAAATCTATTCGAAACATGAATTTTTGAATTTGTGATGAACAAATACATTTTTATACCTTCAGTCTTTTAAAATAATCCTGCACACCTGCTAAAACAGTCAGCATGTGTTTTATTTAAATTTTCGCGATGTACAATGTAGCAACTCTTAGAAATATTTTTTTTTTACTTGTGTGACATGCACAATATGTTTTAAACATACTGCACAGTTTTAAAATCTAAGTATGATAACTATTAAAAGTGAATTAAGGAAGACTGCATTAGGTAGAAAAATAAGAGCAAAAGCATAAAAATACTATATGCATACACTGTACGGGGATGAGCTTTTCGTCCCATGTTAGTTCCAGTTTATTTTGTGTCTCAATTCAAGGACTTATATAGACTGTAGTCGCTTTATACAAATCCTTTCTCCTGTTTAATAATTATTGTATAAAATTCCGATAAATGGTCGACTAATAGAGTTAAATTATAGAACGCGCGTAAAGATTTCCCTTGATCAGAGTTAAGCGGATGTTTTTCATAACGGGCAATTTGCATTACTTTTAAAGCTGGTTTAGCAGACTGTTATGAAACTCTAAACTGGACATGCATTCTGGCATGTGAGAAAAGTTTTTTTTTCACTTGCACAGTGAACAGCTATGGGTTAAATATGAGAAAAACTGCATGGAGTGTAAAAGAATGGATAAGAACACAGATGCAGTCGAGACAAATGACGGAATGACAGGAAATGGAATTACTCCAGTTCAGCAAATGATTTCATCATGCAGTGGAGCATTTGTAACCTCAGTATTTGGTAAATAAGTGTGAATGTCAAATAAAAAACGAAGTGGTCCATAATGGGCAAGTAATAGTAACAGTCATTTATTATTGACTGTCAGCTTATTTATTTTGTGCAAAATACTGCGTAAATAAGAATTATGGGTTCAGAGGTCAGAGCTATTGTCATGATTGTCCTGACATTTTGTGCCTTATTTGGCTGCCATGAGAATCCATATTCAACATAATTTAAATGTTGTCAGAAAAAATTAAATGATTGACACCACTTCAAACCTGTATCATACCTGTCAAATAACCCGTATCCTGCGGGTGTGACGCGATATTTTCACAACTCTGAGGGTTCACCCGAGATACCAGCGAGGTCGTTATATAACCGGGGAATTCAGAAAATGACCAGTTTTCAACTGGATTTCTAAAGCATTCAGACTGATTTCATAAGTGATTTTACTTTGAAATATTGGCAAATTCATAACTCTTCCTGGACAAGAAGTTCAACTAGCTGTATAAACTCAAATTAAGTGACCCATTTTAGTGCATGGCTTCACTTGACAGCTTTGGTGTCAAACACACTGTTAATTAACACCAATTACCTTAGCTTTAGGTTGTAAATAATTTATGTATTTCAAAGTTGTTTCACAAAAATTTGAGTTACTTCCCCTTTTTTGTCACCTTTCAAAATAAACTCATTAAATTTATGTTCATTTTTGTAAAATAGATTAAAATCTAAAACAAATCGAATGCCATGAATGCAAATACGTATTACAAAATTACTTTTCATTATTTTTCTACCTTAGTCAGTCATGTTTGTACAATTAGAAAATAAATAGATGAAAATTATTTTTCTCATCTCTGCTTCCTTTAAATGTTTAACTTTTTTTTTTATACTCTTAACATCAACCAATTTTTAAAGATTGGCCGACCGTACGAGGGCTGTATAGCCAGTCAAGGTTGTTAAAAACTCCCATCATCTTTAAAGATTGTATAAAACTGTACAGATAGATGTACACTGAGTGTCTTGTGACTGTTGAACTGATCATAATACAAGAAAGTGGGGTTATGGCTTGGCTTGAATTGTTAAAGTATTTTATGAAACAACAATATATCAAAATCATAAGTGCATTGCAACAATAATAGTTTTAAATTATTTTCAGTTAATACTTACATGACGTAACCATTTGAACATGTTTTGGATACTGTTTGTTTTAAAATATATAAAAAAAATGTCCCCTAAATACTTAAATTCAGCTTGAAAAAAGTTTGTACGTGTTATGACCTGAGATTTTATTCTTCAATGCAGGTCATGACCTGCATTTTCATTTTCATAGGTTGACAGGTATGCTGTATATTTTAGCAAATCATCATTCTGAATTTTTTTTAATGATAGTTTTACAGGGGCGGATCCAGAACCTCGATGTCTGGGGGGGCACCATGAAACCAAATTAAAGATTTGTTTAGATATGTATATATGCGAGTGTGCATGGGTGGTGGTGGTGTCAAGTTTTCATGATGATGGTGGTTGTGAGGGGAGGGGGGTCTTCATTTCTATATACGTTCATTATTTTTGGATCCATTTCTTTCTACTCTTTTATTTGCTGCCAATTGTTTTCTATTCTTTATAGTTCATCACACCTTTAATCTGTTTTCTATATTTTTTGGCCCATTTTTTTCTAGTCTTTACTTTTTGACCATTATTCTCTAATCTGTAACCCCATTCATACCCTCATTCACGGTAACCTATTCATACCCTCATACATGGTAATTGAAACAAGAAAAAATGTACGCATATAACTGTCAATGACTGTAGGTTTTCTAACAATACAATATCATTTTATTAATGAGTATATATAAGGCACAGACCATTCATGTTTTGTGGGGGGGAAGGTTTGTTTTAAAGACAAATCGTTGGTTTCCATAAAAAAATAAGGGGAACAGAAACACGACATTCAGTTTTAAAAAAATGTTGTATGCATTGAAAAAAAATCGTTTGTTGTTTAATAAAGTTCGAAAAAGACTGTTCTGAGAAAGACACATTCCCCAGAAACCGTATACAATGTGAGTGTTTGGTAATAAAGATGTATCTCATATCGATACTAACATTCTTGACACTTAATATCTATATTCTTTTAACATGTTTAAGACCGATTTTATTTGGTAATTTCTTTCCTGATCAAGATTTCACTTGTTAATCGATCTTGATCCTGTAATATTGTATTAGGAACCAATAAATATATTCGTATTAATTTCAATCAGCATGTACATGTAGTTTACATAAATGCTGTTGGATATAGACATTACACAAAGGTGTCAATATTTTATTTTACACACGGGTCACCCATCAATAAATTGTCATAAATCATGCATGTTGACAGTGGTTGAAGCTGGGGTTAATTAACAACCAGTTTAGGAAGTCAAATCATGCTGTGTCTTGATTTTCGATCTAGATATCTTGATAAGCAGATACAGTAGCAATAAAACTATGTTAGAAAATTTTTTTGTGACCCCGACTGGAATTTTGGGGTCGTATATTGGTATCATGTAGTCATCGTCGTCCGAAGACATTTGGTTTCCGGACAATAACTTAAGTTTTAGTGAATTGATCTCTATGAAATTTAACCAAAAGGTTCAATACCACAAAAGAAAGGTTTGGATTGTTTTGGGGGGTGATGCTCCCAACCGTTTAGGAATTAGGGGCCAAAAAGGGGCCCAAAACAAGCATTTTCTAGTTGCAGGACAATAACTGTGTATAAGCATTTTGATTGCTCTGAAATTGTACCACAAGGTTCAATACCACAAGTAGAAGGTTGGGATTCATTTTGGGGCAATTGCCCAAACCGTTCAGGAATTAGGGGCCAAAAAGGGTCTAAAACAAGCATTTTTCTAATTTTCAGACAAATAATTTGTGTTTAAGTGTATTGATGTCTCTTAAATTGTACCACATTTTACAAATATAAAATTTCTACAAATGTATTTTTTTTTAGAAAAATTGGGGGTCACAATTTATTTTGCTAATTCTTTGTATATAGTCTGAAAACAGATTTACTAAGTAAGTCTTTGGACTACATTTATTCTGTGTCAGAAACCTATAATGTGTCAAATATTTAATTACAATCCAAATTCAGACCTGTATCAAGCTTGAATATCGTGTCCATTTTTGCCCCAACTCGGCGAAGCAGTTTATTTATGAATGAGTTGCACTGGTTGACTCCAGGTCAATCAGTGTAAACGTCATGGAACAATCGGTTTTTACTGTGACGTAATAACATAAGCATTGTGACATAGGAAATTTACGGGAAAGTGCACCAATTCGAAAGTCGTCTATACATCGAGGCTTCCAAAACGGTCATATTTGCCGGACAATATAAATTTATCAGACATTGACCAATGGGCCAAGTATGAAACAGACATCCTGCATAGGTTTGCTATTTCAAGGTCCATGTAATTCAGAAATATCAATGCAACCATTTTGACTTGACCTTGTGCCTTAAACAGCCACACTTTTCCTGTCATAAAAGTGGCAGTACTCTATAAACAAGGCCTTCTATAATCCCCTCTCATCACAATCAAGGTTAATTAAGCATCTAACTGGTGAGATTTACCTGTGCTCACCTGTGTCAGGTAAACTACATGTATTTGTACTAGACATCAATCGATCTTTTTGGAAGTTATTTTTTTATTAAAATTTAAAACATTCCTAGTTTAAATCTAACTACTTTTTAGCAAAACAGATTTAAACATCAGAAAAATGTATTTAAAAGGATAAGATCATAATTTACAAAGCCTTGAAAGGTGGTAAAAAAGTTTATTAGACAGAACCACATTGATTTAAATATTAGAGGTGTGGGCATTTAAACAAGTGTGATATTTATTATGTAATAATGTGTCAGAATTCATCCAAAACTATATAAATGTCATTTATACCATTATATTAAGTTCATCTCAAGTATTTTCCATAAGAAATAACGTGGAGAAAACTGCTTAAACTCAATAATGCTAGATAAAAATACACAGATTTTGCACAACCGTCTCCGTTCCGCATTCTATCATGGTCTAGTAAATATTCGTTATTGGGAAACATGTTTAGCAAATAACTAAGCTGGTCCTTGTCTGACTAATACACTTTGTTAAGTCTGCTGGCTCAAATATTTTTTGGAAGCCCTGCTATACATATATGTTGCATAAATCCAACATCAAACGGTTACTGTGATAAAAATTAGCATGTCTTTAATGATCTAGAAATATGGCACATTATTAATACACCAGTTTGTCATTGTTTGTGGCTAATTGCAAAACTGTCATGTTTACTCTGTTCAGGAAAGGGTAAACAACACACAAGTGGTTGAAAGTCTTTATCATGATTACAGCTACCATCATGACTATGCTATTGCACAATATGTTTCTGTAGAGTTTATTTTAAGGTTCACAGATTTTTTACATTGTGCACTTCATTTCCAAAATTCCAGACTATCACCAGCTGATCACCCTAAATTTTTATTACATGTACAGTAAAACTAGTATAAACCAGTTGGCTATGGGACTAGTATGAAAAATGGCCCGTTTGGACAGTGTGTCGTTTATTTCAGTTTTCCATATTGACTGATATGATTGACTTGTGACGTCAGACATTTTGCATGTAAAAGTTCTGTCTCATCGTTAATTGTAAACTTATAAAAACAAATACCGTAATAATCTTTTTATTAAAAGTTATGACATGATTTCTGTGAAAATATTGAGACATGAGATATATTCGGCAACGATACATTCAAATATTTCTCTTAGTTTATTTTAATGAAGACATAATAGTGTTTCATTAAAAATAGCTCACTACTTTTAAGTTCATGGTTTACAGGTTTAACACCTTGCTAATCATGCTAATTAATTATCCTAATAAAATCCTGTTATGTAAGCAATTGTGTTTTGATTGCATATCGATCAATAAAGTTATCATATAAGATTAATTTAACAAACCGGTTTTGACAGGTAATAATATTAAAATGTAATCAGAATTAAGAGTATTGGGGCTATAAAATTAGACCGTAATTGGGAATACACAGAGTCCTTTTTACGAAGGATATTTTTACAAAGATTTTGAAGGGAAAAAATGTTACTACAATTTTCAGCCGGAATGGAAAGGAAACCGGTTTATTCTGGGTTCGTTTTACCCAGGTTTGATATTATTTTACTCTAGGCGTTTTGGCTACAGTATTTTACATTCATGTCATTCCATCTGTTCTGACATCCAACAAATATTTCTGTCACATTTTTCTCTGGTAATACTGAATAACTTCCTATTTAGTAAGCAGCTTGACATGGATAAGTTATAAATAACGTCTGAACACTTTTCTTATCTGTCAGATACCTACATTAATTTTTACTTCTTGTTCGCTGATGCTTTGAATTTATCAATACATGCATCTTGAATAAACTGAAAAAAGTGCTAGTCGAACCAACTATCATGACTATTGTCATTGATTGTCATGAATGTTATCAGGTGATTTCTTGTTTAGATAGAAATCTTTTCTATATATTTAAGGCCAAATATCATGATGATTCTACTAGTTTCTGATTTAATCAAATCTGATATTGTACACCACAATGTATTATTATGATTACAGTTACTCCGTTGGATGTGATAAAGATACGACTTCAGTCACAGAAGAAACCACTGGTCAAAGGCCAAATTTTTCAGTACTGCAATGGACTGATGGATCATGTATGTGTATGTGCTGTTAATGGAGGGTCAAGTTTATCACCAGCACCAGAGTGTCCATGGTATAAAAGGCCTATACCAAAACCTCTTACTGGCACAGCTGTAAGTTTCGAATGTTTGTTATAACATAAATATAGATCTATCAATCCAAGAATTATAGCCTATTATTGCCTTAATATTTTGAAAATTAATTTATGGCTATATACTGTAATAAATGATTGTAGAGCATGCACATATTATTTAAAACCACGATATAATTTATTGACTGTAAATCAGCCTTATGCTTTCACAAGATAATTTTGATGATTTTCTCAATATAAAATAAAAGATATGGTATGAATGCCAATTAGACAACTATCCAACAGAGTCCAAATGAAGTTTATTTTTAATGAAAACTTCAATGAAAATTTTTTTTCAAATATCTTGAGTATACACTTACACTTGATCTTGATATGATTTCTACACATGTTAAAGAAAGAAAACCACTATATCAAAGTAGCAATGTATTTCTTTATTTGATAAGATTATGTATGAATGAATGTGGAATTAAGTATCCAAGAAAAGGGTATATATTATCACATGTCACATCCCCTATTAATTACTTTACACAGTGTACAATGTTTATTGTACACTTAACAGATCACAAGTTGTATATTGTGGATATTAGTCTTTCAAACATGTCAGATTGTCTTGCAAGTTGAAATTTTGAAAATTGCACTTTGCTGCATCAGCTGGAATGTCACAACAGAAATTTAAAGCTTGCTCAAATATGGTTTTATTGACTATAGAATTGTATAGATATTAATCAAAAGCTCTGATGAAATCTTTTTTTTCTTTTAGGATGCCTTTTTTAAAATTCTTAAATATGAAGGAGTTGCTTCCCTTTGGAGTGGATTGCCTCCAACTCTGTAAGTGAGGATGGTACCATTATGTATAATATGTTAGCTACAAGCTTGTAAAATTGTCTGAATTCTGATAATGTAAAAGTGAATTAAAGAGTTATTATATCGATAAGTAATATTAAGCATAAAGTAAACTCTATCAAAAAAGGGCCTCCGTGGCTGAGTGGTCTAAGTAGAGGAACTACTGTATCACTAGCCAGTCAACACTGAGGTTGTTAGTTTGAATCCTGCACGGGGCAGGTGCACTGAACTCCAATCTTAATTGACTAGGATTGTCAGTTTTCCTACCAAAGGTTTTTGGTTCTCTCCGGGCACTCCGGCTTCCTCCACCAATAAAAACTTACCACCACGAAATAGCACAATAGTGTTGAAAGTGGCCTTAAACACCAATCAATCAATCTATCAATTTATACAATGTAAATTTAAAAATCCCCAACAACTGAAGGTATATGTATCTTTTGGTTTATGTGTCATTGGTGTGTGGTCTCATTGACACATTTCCCACATCTTGTTTTATCCCAATCACTTTATGGTCATCTTTGTGTATAAATATATTTGCATAGCAGCAGTAGATTTTTTGTCTGTCATGTTTGTCAGTTGGAAACACTTTACATGATTATGTCATGTAGGTGATGAAAAATAAACATATATTCAAATTTAGTTTTCCTAAAACATAAAAAAGGATGATTGATCGATTGAGTGATTGATGATTGTTAACATCCAGTGCCAAATGAAAATTTAGAGAAATTGAAGTTGTAGCTATAACAAACATTATTATTTTTCTTTCTTTTTATTATAGAGTCATGGCTATTCCTGCCACAGTTATTTATTTTTCATGTTATGAGATATGTCGTAAGAAGTTAGGTTACCATGAAGGATTAGAAGGCAGTGATTGGTGGAAACCTATGATTGCAGGTGCCTCTGCAAGAAGTATGTATAATGTTATTAAATTATTAGGCATAATTGATTAACTGATTGCTTGTTATTTTGTAGTGTGATTCATTTTATAAGTACAGAGATGAATTATTTTTTATCAATCAGAGGCATTACTTAAAACCAGTAATTTCAAAATTAAGTCATGATGAAAAGCAGGTGTTTTTAGATATAACTTATATAAGTTATTTTGTAAATATTATTTACAGATGTGTCAGTTCATACAGATCTTACTACCATAAAAAAATAATCTCAGACATTCGGTTATTTTTCTCATTGAGTGTGAAAACCAATACCGTATTTTTCACATGCGTCTAATTTTTGCATTGTGTGTGGCAGTTTAAGAAACGCAAAAATTTGACCCGTGTAGATTTCACTGCATATTTCCAGATTTATTATTGTTTGAAAGTTTCATATTATATTGCTGATTATGGAGTCTTTTGTGTTGTTTGGTAGATCACAAGAAAGTGTATACTTAATTAAGGTATCTGTTTATATAAATAATTAAAATGACTAATCATATATGGCGCACCTTTTGACAACACAGCAATCAGACACAGGTAAAAAGATGTTAATTAGCGACGATCTATTGATTGGTGTCATAACACGAACATTTTGCATCTGATGTAAATTAAAATAAAAATAAATCACATTTACACGGATATTTGTTTATCTGTAATGATCAATAGCTTCAATTTTTAGCTTGCCCCATGGTCTGTACATATTCTATGTTTGTTGAAAGTTAACTGAATTATGTGTATTTTCGTTTGTAGTACCCATATGCAATAGATTACCTGTCAGTCAATCAAGTTTATGTTGTTTACATTTTTAACAATACGATACAGTTATTTTTTCGCGTGTATTTTCCCTTTCAGCGAAAATTATACACAGTGAAAATTTAACCTGCCCATTTTGTCATCAAATCGCGAAAAAAAGCGGACGGGGAAAAACCTGATATACGGTACTCCTGAAACACTAATTGCCGTCATGATCCACTTTAGCTTTGTGTTTGTTGTCTATAATACTCAACTAATATTGAGTTCAATGGTTTCGACTGATATTTCGTTGTATCTTTTTTTCTTAACATTAGTAGGTGATGTCACATTGAGGAATAAAGTATGGGACAACCCTTATATTTGGTTTACAGTTTTATGATGTGGAAAATTGAACTAATAGATGTATTTTGTTTTAAACAGCACTGTGTGTGACAGTTATTAGTCCCATAGAGATGATTAGAACCAAATTACAGTCAGAACAGCTGTCGTACAACCAAATCTGGAAGTCCCTTGGTCAGTCCATCAAAACTGGAGGTGTGACCATGTTGTGGAAAGGCCTTGGACCAACACTGCTTAGAGATGTTCCTTTTTCAGGTAAGATAGATGTAGAGATTCACATGGTTATGTTAGGTGATCTATTTATTATATGGTATGTTATTTAATTTTTTTAGGTATAATTTCTTTTTACCAATATTTGCAAATCATAATTCCTTTAATAAAATCTGACAATACCATGTAGTGCATGAAATATTTTTGTTACATACATTTCTTGTGGATATTTCTAATTTGAATTATCCTGTATGGTTTGTTGTTGCCTCATTTACATGTGTACCGAGTACATGATAAAGAAAGAATATAAACTAAGTTATTTGTAAGATAAAAGGCTGATGCAGAGTTCTCAAAATCATTTTTCCCTGGTGATCTTTAAAGAAAATCTGCTGGTCCTCACTATTAATTCTATAGAAAAATATTAAAATTTTGTCAGTCCTTTCAAAATTTTGGTGGTCAAAACTTTTGGACCTCCACTTTTCGAAAACTCTGCTGATGAACCAGCCTTATGTTACCACTGGATAAGCTATAACTATCTAGACACTTAATTACTTTATTTGTAGAGGAGCAAAACTTTGCACTATCGTTGAAAAAAAGGTGCCAGTCTTCTGCAGTCAATTGAGTGTTCTGTTAACCATTTTGATTTAATAATACAATTCCAAAAGGATTATTTTTTTTACTAAGATAGTGCATGTAAAATATGGAATCCATAAAAATGTATCCTATTTTAAATCTGTTAACATGTGGTTTGTACAACTTACAACTTCACTTTTAGCACTGTATTGGTTGTCATATGAGAGTATGAAAGCCCGTGTACTGCTACAGAGAGGAACATCAAAAATGACTTTTGCCGAGAGTTTCACAGCTGGTGCTGTGTCTGGAACAGTGAGTATTAAAATATCATGACATTATTATTACTATGGTTAGAATGATGAATAGGGCAGCTAAGAGGTGATTTATAAAAAAAGATGTAATAATCAATGTAAGAATTCCTTAAAAAAACTGCATAACTGAGCTAGGCATATATGTATATAAACAACTGCATTATTGAGCTTTGTATATCCTAATCAACTGCATAACTCAGCTTAGAGGATCCTGAAAAACTACTTACTGAGCTTAGAGTATACTTAAAGACTGCAATATACAGATGTTCCTCATTTCTGATTGGAAATTTAGCTGAACCTTTTATTTACAGATTGCTGGTATCCTGACTCTGCCATTTGATGTGATAAAGACACACAGACAGATTGAGTTAGGAGAAGTATTAAAAGGTAAAGATTTCATTGGTTAATCAGATAAAATTGAGAATGGAAATGGGGAGTCTGCTTTATCATGTTTATGACATGATTACCAAGTCATTGTTAGAGGGTATATGATGACAGTCATTGACCTCTGGACCTTCATGTTTTATTGCTGGAAATTTGTTTGTTTGACAGAAACCCCATTTTCTGGCCTAATGAAAGTGTTTTGTTAAGGTTGACCTACATTTGACAAAATTTTGGCGCTGAGACCCGTTTAGGAAATCTGTGTAATACCTTCTTATATAAACTAATTTTTTGGTACATATTTGTATGATTAGAGTTTAAATATTTATTGTGTTATTTATTTTTTACATGTTTAAGCAAGTCAATCAATCAATCATGTTTTAACAAAATTACTAAGAAAGAAATTTCATGAAAACTTCATTGTCCATACTTTTTATATGACTGCAAAATTTTTGCGGTCGTATAATATTGTGATGTTTTCGGCGTTGTAGTCATCTTCCGAAGTCATTTGGTTTCCAGACAAGTGTATGGATCTCTATGAAATTGAACCACAAGGTTCCATACCACAAAAGGAAGGTTTGTATTGACTTTGGAAGGTATTGTCCTAACTGATTACGAATTAAGGGTAAAAAAGGGGCCAAAAACCAGCATTTTTTACTTGTTTCAGGACCATAACTTGTGTATAAGTGTATAAATTAAACTTTGTTTGATTACGTCAAAAATTGATTTCTTGGGATTCTTTGATATGCTGAATCTAACCATGTATTTAGATTTTTGATATTGGACCATAAAAGGTAAATGTCCAATTTCAAATTTTTAAGTTATTAGACAACATTTATTCTGTGTCAGAAACCTATGCTATGTCAAGGGTCAGAAACATATGCTATGTCAAATATTTAATCACAATCCAAAAACAGAGCTGTATTGCATAATTAATAGAAATTGTTAGTAGATTCATAGTTAAAAATAGATATAGCATCAAATTCTAATTTTAGAAATTATGTATAAATGTAGTTTGAAATTTAATGTTTATTATTAGATTTTTATTATGCCCCCGCCGTGGCAGAGGGGGCATTTAGTTTTACTCTCGTCCGTCTGTACGTACGTTTGTCCGTCGGTCCGTCTGTACGTCCTAAAATTGGTTACCAAATGTTATTAAAATTATACACAATGCTTATTACCACAAGACACAGATCAAGTTTGAATTTTGGTGGCATCACTTTTACTGTTCTAGAGTTATGCCCCTTTACAAATGGAAAAATTGCTGAATTTTTTGTTTCAGTTCTCCAACTTTAGTTTGCCTCAACCAATTGTTATGAAACTTATACACAATGCTTATTACCACAAAACACAGATCAAGTTTGAATTTTGGTAGAGTCACTTTAACCGTTCTAGAGTTATGCTTATTACCACAAAGCACAGATGGAGTTTGAATTTCGGTGGCATCATGTCTACTGCTCTAGCGTTATGCCCCTTAATAACTGGAAAAATTGCTGATTTTATTGTTTCCGTTCTCTTACTTAAGTTTGCCTCAACCAAATGTAATGAAACTTATACGTAATGCTTACTTATACCAGAAAACTCAGATCAAGTACAAATTTGGGTAGCGTCACTTTTACCGTTCTTGAGTTATGTCCCTTTATAACATTGTATGCAAGCGGGGGCATCATCTGGACACATTCCCCATTTATTTGAAAAATGATTTAGGGTAAGTTTTATAGAGTTTTTACAAAACATTGTATTAACATGATTAATAATGATATTTTGGAAATAGGTTTTTTTCATTTTTTTGTAAATTTTTTTAAGAAGTTTGTGGGAGGTTTATTTGTTATTCTGTATTAATTAATTTTCAGAATGCTATACATATATTCTTTTTTTTTTTTGATGAAGCGAACCCCTTTAAAAAGTTAGCTTATATTGTCCATTAATAAATAAATAAATTAAATTCTTGGTGTACTTGGATATGCTGAATCTAAACGTGTATTTAGATTTTGGATATTGGACCAATATACATTTGTTCCATTGTTTTATAGAAAATAAAAATGCAACCAGGTCGACATGGAAACTCATGATGAAAATGCAAGCTGATCATGGATATCATGCTCTCTTTACAGGTATGTAGTATCATTTAACTTAGAAGTCCTGCCCATTTACAAACACCAATAATTATGTTAACCGTGGGTTGTATCTCTAATTTGCATGCACGCCACAATTATAAATTAAACATGTGGTTAACCCATTAAAAGGTCAATAACTTGTCATGATCTAGATAATTGCCTTGCATTTAAGATGTATAAAAATATTCTACAATTTTTTATCATGTAAAATGCCAACATGTTTAAATCCGCTCCGTTTTTGTATGTGCCTGTAATTATGTTGTTGTCGTTTGTTGCTATATATTATATTTTTATAACAACTCGTAAAAAAAACAGATAATAAAGGTCTTCAGTATTGACAGGACCATAACAATTTGAACCAAAAGGATGGGGCTGTTCCAGAAATGATTGTAAGGGGGGGGTCATGAGGCGCTTAAAACATATTTATTGGTGGGTGGATGTATTTCTGGGAGAAAGTGCAAAGCAGTGGTAAAATTGTTCTTGAAATAGTCATGATAGTTACTTGCCTAAAATTACGGGGGAAAAAGTATCTCATTTAAGAATGAACAAAATTTTAAAAAATGAAAAGAATTACTGGCAGTTGACACAGATTACTACACTTATTTAAACATTGATAAGTATTGTTTACTGGTTATATTTTCAGGACTGGTTCCCAGAACTATAAAGGTAGCCCCAGCTTGTGCCATCATGATCAGTTCGTATGAATACTTCAAGGCTTACTTCAGAGAACAAAACAGACTGAATAACTCATAGTATTTGTTGTCAGATACACAACACAAACAATAAAGTGTTCACTGTGTGAAATCCTTATTAAATAAACTGGAAGGAAATATTCCACATATCTAATTTTGCACATATGTAATCGACAGTTTGCTGATGGTTTTGTTCATGAATGGTGCATAGATACAGCTATTTTAATAGCTCTTGGTCTTTTTTAAATGTTGTTGAGATGAACAATGTTTTGTAAACATAATAAGCATGGTTAAGTGATATTCTTTGTGTGTACACATAAGTATCAAATTCAAGGATAATTTTAGTGTATGAAAGAGATACTCTTTATGTCTGTTTTGTATGTAATACTCGTAATGCCAAATATTTTATTATAAACTGATTTTTTTTAATAGTTTATGATCGATAACATTGTATAATTAATAATCAAAGATAACTTATGTACTTCAGAAAGACAGATCTGAATGTTATTATGGTGCTCATGTTCATATGTAGAAAATATAACATGCAATCACAGATTTAAAATCTTTATTGTTATCATAATTTTGTTTTGTTTTATCATATTCTATATTTGTGTATGATCCTGCCACAATTTTTTTGTGGATACAATAGTTATATTATTATTTATTAATGTAATTCATAGTTCTATAACCTAGGACTTTCACAAGCTTTTTTATTACATGACTGGAAGAATGAAAGTAATTATAAGTATACTGTTCTGTGATTATTACTTTCAGATTAAAAATCAATACATTTCCTTTCGTTTTACATGCATTTAAATTAGTTACAATTCTTTCACTTATGCAATTGAAGAAAAATAATTATCTAAACCAAAAAAAGTGTGTGGATTCCACTTTTATACGTGTGCTGTGATGTATATCTTTTATATCTTTGTCTTTTAATTTATCTTAAGAGTAAACAACACAATTTCTTCCTACCAAATTATTCATATTTATATATGAAATTAAAGAGTCATACAAACTTTTTATTTGGTAAATGATTAACCACTACTTTGAATTGTAAAATGGAGTAGATTTAAAATGAGGTGTCTGCTGAGATCCATTCACTCTTGACAGTTGATTTAAATAATAAGTAACCGTCAATAGTGGAATAGTATTGTACATGACATACATGACATAGTAAAGTGGTAAAAATTATTTATATTATGATTAAAAAGAAGAATTCATGAATACCAATTTATCATGGGGGTGTCCACTCTTTGTCACTATGGGCCTCTGTGGCCGAATGGTCTTAGTAGTTAATCTTCTGTATTCCTAGCCTGTCAACACTGAGGTTGTGAGCTGGAAACCCCGCATGTGGCAGGTGCATTAGACTCCAATCTTACTTGACACAGGTCTGTGGTTCTTTCTGGTACTCCAGCTTCCTCCAACAATAAAAACTGGCCTTCACGAAATAGCCTATAGTGCTGAAAGGGACATCTTAAATACCAACAATTAATGATCATGAATCAATCACTGTCACTATCTAGAAGCAGACTGACAAGACACTATATTACAAAATTGAAGATATTGGAATTGTTTCTGAGCAGCCAATTTACTACAATTTCTATGGTCCTGCGCTTATAAAAGGCTATAGGATATTTGAGGATATTTGAATTCCTGAAATTATAAAGTCAGAGGAAATAATTTTTTCTTTTATATGTGAAAATATTTTATTATGTAACATACTTATGTAAATATAAAAATAAAGATTTATATGATTATTGGAGGTCATGTCATTCTAAACTAACTAAAGTGAAATACTAAAAACTAAAATAATTAACCTGTATCTTGAAATCTTATTACATTTTATAGAATTATCATAAACTTTTTATTGGTGCAAACTAAGTTATGATGTTCATGGTTTGTTGTTTACGAGTAATTTTATGAACATAAATGTATGGGTATTTTTTTTAAAGTTTGAATGTTGTGTATTCAATATTTTGTTATATGTATTATGTTGAACTGAAATTTTTTAGAGTTTTTATAGGGACATATCCAGAATTACTGTTCATTTTGAAAAGGAACTTAATACCAAAAAAATAACTATGAGGCAAAAAATTTTACATTGATTTCATTTACACATTGAAGGAAAATTATATGGCTTGTTTTGGATAAGTTCTTCTTTCCCTATGCTTTCACAGCAAATTTACCAACTGCTTCAGGAATACTGAAATAAGATAGGTAGAATTGCCCTCATTAGGCAAGCAGATGCATTATTTTTAGATAGTTTGGACATTTTTAATGGTTTTTCTTGATACATGAAGAATATATCAAGGATCAGCTAAAATGATTGTTGAACAACTACTTTATGAAAACAGTTGTATAAAAATAAAGTGCCGATTTAGAAAATCTAAAATTGAATTATTGCACCTGTGCCTTTTGAAGAAGATGTTTAAAACAATCATATGAAAAGTGTCATTGCCCACACTTTCTGGTTTGGTATGTATGCTTAGCTTATAAAGTATTTTTTTCTGTATAAATATTTATTTCAAGTGAACTTGAGTGAATGTAAAAAGGTGAGCTATATGCACATACAAATAAATGTAAACAAGTTATAAACAGACAATTTTATTTCTTGTGAAAATGTTTTAAAATTAAAAAAAATATATAAGATAGAATAAGCAATCATGTTGCATCATGATGAATCTTTGCCTCTGTTTACTTGACAGTAGTATTGAGACATTTTAAGATACATTTTTTAAAACATTATAAAAAAGTGAGTATTATTATGTAGGTATTAGACTAAATATCACTTTTTAAATTTGAACTTTGTTATTAAATGAATTGATTTGATATGTAAAAAGCTATGTTAATATAACATGTTTTAAATGAAAAATAAATTGTTAATATAAAGAAATAAAACTATATTTTCTCTAATTTAAGTACTAGTTAGCTCTTGTGGTATAAACTGCCTTCAGGTCTGTCATTGTCTGTTGTCATCTTCATCCCTGAATGTTTTAAAAGGGTTGGCTATATAGCAGAGTAATAACAAGGAGATCACTACCCATAATCTTTGTCCTACTGTGTGACCACAAAATTGTGGACAAAAATGCTTTGAATTCATAATTTTTATACGCCCATTTACGGGACGTAATATGGTATACCATTGTCCGTCTGTCCGTCGTCAACATGTCAGACATTAACTCAAAAAAATTTTCACCAGTTTGCATAAAAATTTGGTGAATTGTTTATATCTATTGACATGAGCTTCCTTTCGTTTTTTATAAAATTTAGATTTAACGTTTCCGAGTTATGGGGTTTTATTCATTAAAAAAAGGGGGATTTTCCAGTTTTCGGACAATAAGTCAAGAATGCTTTCACCAACTTGCAAGAAATTGTGGTGAATTGTTTATATCTATTGACATGAGCTCCCTTTCGATTTTTATAAATTTTATTTGTTTTGTACTAATTTTTCTTGGATTTCATTTAATGAATTTAGTCACTAATTGTTCAATGCGGTTCCAAAAAAAAAAAATGTTTATAGACTTGTATGCAGAATTTGTAAAAACCACAAAATCAAGTATCCACAAAAACTTGTACCCACGATTAAGAAATGACTCCACAGTATTTTGGTCACAATTTTTCTTATCTACCATGGAAAAGACTGGATATGGCATATTTATCATAAAACAAAAATACATGCATGCACTTGACGACACAGTGCTTTAATTTTTATTACTTTGCAGTTTTACAACACAAAGTCACCATGAGCAAAAGCACATATATCTCATTGCAAATTCAAGCACTGGTTTAAGCAAAATTATTTGTTAGATACATACCAATCATGCTTCACCTGTGCATTGAAGAATACAAATGTGTGAGTTTTAGCAAATTGCCGACTTAAACAGGCAAAGATAACTTACAAATAATTTCGTTATTTGACTGACAATCTCATTGCTCAATACAAAACAATACAAAAATTTAGACAACTTAGGGCAACATCAATATATTAGTTGTATTCCATTCAAAACTGGCAGAAAGATGTATTGTATAACAATTATTAAACACATACAAACAGAAAAGGAAACAATTTTTGAATTGCAGGATAGATATTTCTTCTAGATAATTTGTGCTATGGCGTTACATGCTTTGATAGGGCTTTCCATAGTGAAATGTAACTTGTAACTTAAGCATGGTTAATTTTATTTTTAATTTCAAGAGGAAAAGAGGAGGGGTATTGAACTCTTGGGATGTTGAGGAGGGAAATAATTGAGTGGTGTGAAGCTACTTTCCAGGCCTCAACTCTACATTACCTATCATAGTGATGTGAGTCCGATGTGAACTTTCTTAAAAGCCTATGTACGCCAATGCCAAGCAATTAATTAATAATATACACTCAGATATTTAAATTACTAAATCTTAATTTTTATACGACCACAAAAAAATTTTTGTGGTCGTATAATGGTATGACGTTGGCGTCGTCGTCGTCGTCCGGCGTCGTCGTCCGAAGACACATTAGTTTTCGCACTCTAACTTTAGTTTAAGTGAATAGATCTCTATGAAATTTTACCATGAGGTTCAATACCACAAAAGGAAGGTGGGAATTGATTTTGGGGGTTATGGTACCAACAGTTAAGGAATTAGGGGCCAAAAAGGGGCCAAAAATAAGCATTTTTGTAACTTCCAGACATAACTTGTGTGTAAGTGTAAGGATCTCTCTGACCTTGTACCACAAGGTTCCATATCACAAAGGGACTGCTGGGATTGATTTTGGGGGTAATTGTCTTCAAATTTTAGGAATTAGGGGCCAAAAAGGGGCAAAAAACAAGCATTTTTCTAGTTTCATGACAATAACTTGTGTGTTAGTGTATGGATCTCTCTGACATTGTATCATAAGGTTCCATATCACAAAGGGAATGCTGGGATTGATTTTGGGGGTAATTGCCTTCAATTTTTTGGAATTAGGGGCCAAAAAGATGCAAAAAACAAGCATTTTTCTAGTTTCATGACAATAACTTGTGTGTAAGTGTATGGATCTTTATGAAATTGTACTACAAGGTTCCATATCACAAAGGGAAAGCTGGAATTGAGTTTGGGGGTAATTGCCCAAAAAGTTTAGGAATAAGGGGCCAAAAAGGGGCCAAAAATAAGCATTTTTCTAGTTTCCAGACAATAACTTGTGTTCAGGTGTATGGATCTCTCTGAAATTGTACTGCAAGGTACCATACCACAAAGGGAAGGCTGGGAATGATATTGGGGGGAATTCCCTCAAAATTTTAGGAATTAGGGGCCATAAAAGGGCCAAAAAACAAGCATTTTTCTAGTTTCAGGACAATAACTTGTGTGTAAGTGTATGGATCTTTATGAAATTGTACTGCAAGGTTCCATCTCACAAAGGGAAAGCTGGGTTTGAGTTTGGGGGTAATTGTCCTAAATGTTTAGGAATATGGGGCCCAAAAGGGGCTAAAAAACAAGCATTTTTCAAGTTTCCAGACAATAACTTGTGTTCAAGTGTATGGATCTCTCTGAAATTGTACTGCAAGGTACAATACCACAAAGGGAAGGCTGGGATTGAGTTTGGGGGTGATGAATCATAAGGGGGTTCAAAAAATTTGGGGGGGGGGTTCCTTTTTTTTCTTTAAAATTTTCCATTTTAAATTGGTTATTTCTGATTTATATATAAAAGCAAATAATAATGATATGGTTTGAATAGGTAAATTAAAATTTTTTAAGTTCTTAGACCACTTTCATTCTGTGTCAGAAATCTATGCTGTGTCAAATATTTAATTACAATCCAAATTCAGTGCTGTATCAAGCTTGAATGTTGTGTCCATACCTGCCCCAACTGTTCAGGGTTCGACCTCTACGGTCGTATCAAGCTGCGCCCCAGCGGAGCATTTTATTAATGTGTATAACCATACCAACTAAGAAACCCTTTTTATTAGAAATAACATAAGTCACAAATAAAGTGAATCACTTGTTAATTTATATGTTCTACCTACAATTATGGGAGAAAACAATTAACTCCAAATGAAAATATTTGCATTTGTTCCATTGCTTAATATTCATTGCATCTTACAATGCATCATGAGAGAAATCTTTATCCCTCAATGCTCACAAGTGCTTTGATTTTTCTTCTGCTTTGTTCTGTGCAATGATTAAAAGCACAAAGTTAAAAGAGATCTGTGAACAAACACATTTTCTACAAAGATGCCATGAAATCCAAGTAACACCATACAATTTACAAATTAACATTATGTAAAGTATGCCATTGTCAAGAAACACAAAATAAAAAAAAATAAAAATTTTGACTTGTATCTCAAGTATGTTTTGTTTTGGCATTGGTGGTGTCTTAGAGTGTTTGGCTGTAAAAAGGTTCACTGTCCGTGACGTTAATTCTTTTCCAATGTTTTCTCTGTAGGACATGTTGAAGTGGATCATTTACTGGTGGGTTAATAAATAACTTAATCCAATGGGCATATTTACTTGTGGATTATTTGCTTAACTGATTCAATGGTCACATATGAGCTATTGCTGTGTTAACACTTATAACAAATAGTATGATTGTCTGCTATCTGCCATTTTTGTCCCCGTGCAACGCGTTTCGGGGGACATAGAAATACTGGACGTCCATCTGTCTGTGCATTCATTCGTCCGGTCTTGTTAGTGCTCTCAAGTGTACAGTTCTTCCCAGATTTTTATGAAACTTATAACATAGGCTTATTTCAGCAATGTCTTGGATAATTTAAAAAATCAATGCCGATTAATTATTTTTAAAAGAGTTAAGCCCTTGGAAACAATAATAAAATGGAAAATTGCATCGTTAGCACTCTCATTCGTTCAATTCTTGCCAGATTTTTATGAAACTTATATCATAGGTTTATATCAGCAATGTCTTGGACAAGTTCGAAAAATAGTGCCGATCAATTATTTTCAAAAGAGTTATGCCCTTTGGAAACATTAATTATATGGAACATTGTATTGTTAGCGCTCTCGTGTGTACAATTCTTGCCAGATTGTTATGAAACTTATATCATAGGTTTATATCAGCAATGTCTCGGACGAGTTCGAAAATTAGTGTCGTTCAATTATTTTTAAAATAGTTATGCCCCTTGGAAATATTAATTATGTGGAAAATTGCCTTATGAGTGCTCTAATGAGTACAATTATTTCCCGATTTAAAAAAAAAAATATATCATATTTTCATATTATCTATGTCTTGGACTAGTTCGAAAATCAATTCCGATCTATTATTAAAAATATTTTTGAAAGATACAATAAGCAAAAGGTCAACTATATTTGGTGTATGGAATGATTGTCACTGGTGTACATGTCCGACTGGCAGGTTTCATCTTACCTTAACCTCAATTGCATGGTTCATTGTACAATGTTTAGTGTTTGTGGTTTGATCTATTTCTCAGATACTATAAGCAACATTAATAGGGCCACTATATTTGGTGTATTGAATGATTGTAAGGTGTACATGTCCGACTAGCAGGTTTCATGTGACCTTGACCTCATTTTCATGGATCATTGTCAATGATAAGTTTTCATGTTTTTGTCAGTTTATTAGATACTTTAAGCAGGGACAGTCTATACTAACCTAAGTTAGTATAGACTGTCCCTGCTTTAAGCAATAGGTCAATTATGTTTGGTGTATGGAATGATTGAAAGGTGTACATGTCTGTCTGGCAGGGTTCATATTACCTTTACCTAATGTTCATGGTTCATTGGTAAATGTTAAGATTTTGTGGTTTGATCTGTGTCTCAGGTATTATAAGCAATAGGACTACCATATTTGGTGTATGGAAGACTGTAAGGTGTATATGTCTGTTTGGCATAATTCATCTGACCGTAAACTCATTTTCTTACAACACTGATAATGTTAAGTTTATTAGATACTTGTAGTAAAACCTTCATATTACATACTTTCAACATAACT